TCCCAAGCCAGTTCTTAACCATCGCGCCACTCAGCCGGCCCAGTCTTTTTTATCTTTTTTGTCAGATTTTCAGGTGAATGAATCTTAGGGTCCTGGGATGGAGAAAGGAGAGCTCAATTTTGCCTATAAAATTTGACTATTTTAGTCACAGCTAAAAGCTAAACTGCTCAGATAGAGACTCTTATAAAATGCGGCTTTAAAATGATGTCTCAGGTCCCAAAATGAGCAGCCTGGCTGGCTGGCCAGCACGGCTGTACACAGACTTGTCCATCTGAGTGTTCCATCATCCCCGAGACGTGGTCCTTATCTGCCTGGTCAGACCTGGGCTGTGGAAGCAGGCAGATTCAGCTGTCTCAGACAGAGAGCGAGAATGTGGAGCAGTGTAGTGTGCCCAGTGCTTTTGAGGACAGATCTGGAAGACACATGTCCCTTCTGCTTCATTCCCCTGGCCAGAATCCAGTAGACGGCCATGTCTGGCTGCAAGGGAGGCTGAGAAAGGAGGGCTCACACTGGGTAGCTGAGTGGTCACACACCAACTTGGTTGCTGGTTAAGGGCCAAGTGCCCAGTGGTCTGATCAATGGGCGGATGTTGATGTGTGACTAGTTCACAACCAGAAGGCAAGCAGGAAACTATTGAATTAAATGCATGAAACTTTCCTAGCTCTATTATTACATGGTTAGCAGTTCAAATAAAAATAGCCTTCCTTTTCGTGACTAAACTCTATTACAGAGAAATGAGGACCTTAAACACATACTTTCCAAGCATTCCTGAGCCATATTTATGCCAAATTTACTGGTGCCCATTCATTTAGGGTGGAGTAAAACTAACTCAAAATATGCTTTGAAGAAGCAGTCGACTTTGAAAACTTTGGGCGCCTATTTTACTGGTTGCCATTTACTGGTCAGGAATTAAATATGCAGGACACTTCTTGTTTCCTGGTTGCCAGTCATGATTTGATTTTATTGTTTTTATGAAGAGATTGTTTGTCTCAGCCGATGGTACTAGCTTTCATTGGTCATCCTCACACTGTGTGTCCTAGCGATGATGAACTGTACTGGCCTCCCAGGCAAAGTGGTGTTTGTTTGCTCAGCCCGTGGGTCCTGAGTGGGGGCCCCTTCAGTTACACCTTCCCCCAGCCCTGGGGACACAGCCATTGAGGGCAGTGGGTCAACCACTTTAAGAGGTAGAGTGTGCTGGGACCAGGGTGGGGGGGGTGCAGGGAGCTTGCTCTTTCATTTTTTTAAAACCTAACCTGTAAGATTCTTCCCTTTTTTTAAACCAGCTGTAGATTTGTGTTCTGACAATGGCCACATACAGTCTTGCGTGAAATTGTCTCTGGGATAATGGAGCATTTCCCAGTCAAACCACAGCTCGGGGAGGCTTCAGCTTGCATGGGTTAGGAGGCAGTTGTGATCGTATGGTGCTTGCTTCGTGGCTGGCTGGCTGCAAAGGCCCCTGTGAGTTGGTCTGTCTCTTTGTCTTGGGTAGGAGTGCTGTCCTACAGTTGAGCTGGTTCCCTAATGCCTTCAACTTTTGCTACCTCTGGCTTTCTTATCCAGTGTCCTGGAGACAGGTGACATAAGAAGTGTCAGCACCACACAGAAAAATCTATGGGGAACATTTTTTTAGAGGGTGTCTGTCAGTTAGGATGGGGACTCAAAAAGACCATTGGCTTCCACAAGGTAAAGGTTTGGTTCTCTTAAGTCAGCTTGTTCAGGTGGTCAGGCCAGCATATTGCCTTGGTAGACCAGGGCTCCAGTTCCCCCATATGTGGCTTTTTCCGTGGCCCACGTTCCCAAGGTCATGATGGGTCCATGATGCTGCTTGCACTCCAGCTCCCGCCAGCAGGAAGGAAACGAGAGAAGTAGCAGAGCACCCCCCACCCCCACTTCATTCCCCTGACGTGTCTCAGGAGACGATACACTATGTCTGCTTAAATCAAGGGGCTGTACCTGAGGTGGAGAATCTGAGAAGCATATTATCTTTATTCTAGTGGTTCTGTGCCTAGCTAAAATAATTGAGTCCTATTACTGTGTAGGAGAACTGGAAGTGTGGCTTCCGGGGACAATTAGAAGTTTATGTCAGGGTGGTAGGTGGAAGTTACGGGATCTGAGTCCTAGTGAAGGACGATTACTGCTAATTCAGGGGTATAAGGCTCCCTGTGGGAGATGCCACCATCTGCCACCTCGGTAGCTCCCTGTCAAGTCCCCACACCAGGCATAGGGGTGTTTATCAGCATGAACAGCTTTTTCCCAGTTCCTTTGCCAGTTATTCTGTGCTGACTTCTGAGTGTCCGGTTGGGTGACTGGGAGACTGGTCACCCAGACTGCAGAGGAGGGGCACTGAACTCGGGGTTTAGGCTGCTATGTCTCGGGGTGGCGTTTGCAATTGGTGGCCATGCAGACCCTGTGAGCCTGCACCTCCATTGTGTAAGTTGCCAGACAAGTGGGCACAATCACCACATGCAGATGACAGGTTAATTATTGGTTGTATGTGAAGAGCCTTTAAAAAGTGGTTCTAAATGTTTTGGTTTGAGGTTATACAGAATGGTTTCTGTGTGGTGGTTTTATAGTGATACTCTGCCACTGGAATCAGTAACACCCAAACTTGCATAAACATTGAATTTAATTTTTGGAGTAGGCAATATATTCACATGGTTCTTACGTTATAATGTTATAAAAAAGATTTACACGGAGAAATCTTGTTCCCATCCTAATCTTTATCTGTTGCATTCTCCCACCCGCATAGATAATCATGGTTATTATCTCTGTGTGTGTGTAAAGTTTCAGCTTTTATTTATATAAATACAAGCAATGGCAAACATACATTTATATTTATTATGCATATTGCATATGTTATATATATGTATATATGTTGTTTCCCCTTGGTTTTCACAAAAAGTAATGTTCTATAGACACTTTCCTGCGCCTACATTTTTCACTTACCAGCATATTCGGTCTTTCACGTCAGGACCTTGTTCTTTTTTATATTGATTTGCCAGCACCAGAGTCTCACTAACATCAGTGTGCAGTGACGAGTGAGGGGGTCCCCACCGGGGGAGCAGACCCAGGTGGTACCACAGTCAGTAGGACGAGTTTTTGGAGTTCACAGACACCCTCTGACGTGTCGCTCACATTCCTTCTGCTCTGAGGATTCTCTGATGACTCCCCCCTACAATCCTGAGGAGCTAAGGAAGGTGCTTTTGTTTTGCTTCCACATTGCTCGGCTAGTTATCCACAGCCCCCTGCCCCTTCTCCATGCTTATTTATTTATGCTTCGCCTGTCTGTGTGACCAAGGCACATTCCAGTCTTAGTCCTCATCTGCAAGCTCTACCCTGCACTTTCCTCCTCCCTTCAAATGGAATTCTCAAAACATTTTAAGGTGCCGCTGCCTCATGGCTGCTTAAAGCAAGCGTGCCGATCATGGCATTCATTTAGCCTTTGTCATGGCTGTTCCAGGACCCTCAGCGCTGGGGGCATGCAGAGGCAGGCGGGCATCTGGAGGCCTCTCTGCCCCCGGCTGTCTGTCCCAGCAACAACAGGGGACCCAGGCGACCTCAGGAAATTGGCACAGACTTGCTCGTGTTCTTCCAGTTGTGTGCGGGAGTCCCAGGATCTGCCGGGGAGCAGCCCTCCCAGAAGACATCCTGACCTTGGGTCCTCCTCTCCTTCGGTCATCTCGTCCCCATTCTTCTGAGCCATTTGGCCGTCAACTGTGTTGTTTTCAGCTTCCATCACTAATAGGTGTCGGCTCCCCAGGGTGTTCCAGGCTCTTTATGATTCACGTCCCCGTGGGAGTGGCTGCCGTTGCTGTACCTGGGTTGGCGGTTTTAGTCAGACTTTAGGATGACAGACTTCTAACAGTTTGCCCACATACGTCACTTACGTGTCTCTTGGGGTTTCCCTCACATTGCTACCAAACCACAGGATGTCCCACAGTTAGGAACTTCTTCCTGCTTCACTTCCAGTGGCTCGATGACAGCTCCTGGAACTGAGAAATGGGATTGTCCCCTAGGAGTCAGTGAAAGACTTAATCCCCGTTAGAAAATAATTGAGTCCAAATGGTCTGTCTGCTTTATTAGCCAGTCGATAAATCCCATTGAAAGCAAATTCGCTGAAACGAGTCGCTAGCCCAACCTCTGAGCATCCGTGTTTATAAGGGCTGGAATATTCTATGCTTCTCACATCAGGAGAAACTGGTCTGGGGCCATGGTCAGCCAGTTAAGTGGGGACGGGCAAAGGGGAAGGAGAAGTGTGACCGTCCTCTGGGACTGTGTGTTGAGCAACAGAAAACTTGCAGCCCTTGGCCAGCAACAGGTGTGGCCGGCAGGGGAGGGGCTGGGCTGCTCTTCTGGTGGCCACAGAGGGCCAGGGCATGTGAGGCTTCTGATCACCCTGTGGTGGGCAGGCTGGAGGTGGACTGACACCAGAGACCACCACCCTGCCGGGGCCTGGGAAGGGCTGAGCTCCCGCTGCTGAGGCCTGGACACTACAGTCACAGGTTTCCATCCATTGGGACTCTTTTTCTGGATCTTCAAGGACCTCGGGATTCATAAAATGTACTTGACTTTGCATTCTTGACTTCGGCAAATGCTATGAGAACGATGAGCCCGTGCTATGCTGGGTGCTGGCCCCAGCCATACAAGGACCCAACTGTTTACCTGTGCACGTGGGCGCTTGGGAAGTGCTTTCGTTGACTTAAACAGTTCACTGTTTCACACCTCTGTGTTTCTGGAAACGCTTGTTTTGAACCTGAATTACTGGTAAACATGGGAGACTTTTGCATTTTATTCCTGAGGCTGGGCCCCTGCACAGGCTGGCACAATTTCCTTCTCGAAGGGTCCTGGGAAAGAGGCCACGGTTGTTGGTTTGTCCCTCTTTTCTGCTGGACTCCATGTCTCACAGTCCCCCCATTCCACAACCCCCAAGTCAATATTTAGAAGATGTTTCTGGGAAGGGCTCAGTGTGCACTATTGTGGCTCTGGGCCACGCAAAGCGAGAGGCTTGTTGTCCGCAGAGTCGGGACGCAGCGCCAGGTGACAGCTGTCAAGGATCGTGTACGGCGGGTCTGGAGCCCCAGGCCAGACAGTGCTCATAAGTCAGGAGCTGACTGTTCGGAGCGGCTTCTCTTCAGGACCATGAAGCTGGTGTTGTGATTTTTGCTGTGGCTCTTTTTTCTAGTGGCACAAATGAAGGGAAGCCCGGAGTCGGTGGGTTCATGCCTTTCGGGTTCTCCGGTGTCCTGTCAGGAGCGGCCACTTGCTTCTATGCCTTCGTGGGCTTTGACTGCATCGCCACCACAGGTACGTCCACCATCATCTGCTGTCCAGAGTGCGGGCCTTGGTCTTCCTGCTCTCTCAGGCAGGCTAGGCTCATTTTACCCACGAGTCACTATTTTCCTTCTTGTGGGCATGTGCCAGTTGCCGAACTTTCATACAAGTAACGTGTACATTTGTAGCTTCCTGCTTATCTTCCCCCTCCTTCCTTTTGTCACTTCCCCACATGGCGGTGCCTGACAGGAAGCTGCATTGTGACTGACTGGTCTGCTGCTAGCATGGGATAATGACAGCTGTGGCTGCAGCCTAATTATCTGTGCATCCAGGAGAAATGCCATTAAAAATACTCTCATCCTGGCTGCATCGACCCCCCAAATTTCCTGGCCAAAGGAAACAAGCCTTTTTCTTGGCTGAACCATGACACAGAGGCCAAGAGTACCCTCTGGGGCCTGTGGGTCTTCAGTCTGTGTTGCTAAGGGCCACCCCTTGTTTCCAGAGCCCGGGAGACCCTGGTCCCCACAGGGTCATTTGTGGGTGGCATGGGCTCCCTGAACACTGCGAGGCCTTGGGTACCTTTTGGGTTTGGGGGTGCCTCTCGTCACACCCTCCTGGACTGACTCCTGGCTGCTTCTAGGTGAGGAAGTCAAGAACCCTCAGAAGGCAATCCCCGTGGGCATTGTCGCCTCCCTCCTGATTTGCTTCGTTGCCTACTTCGGAGTATCCGCCGCCCTCACGCTCATGATGCCATACTTCTGCCTGGACAAGGCCAGCCCTCTGCCAGATGCCTTCAAGCATGTGGGCTGGGAAGGTGCCAAGTATGCTGTGGCCGTGGGCTCCCTCTGCGCGCTTTCTACCAGGTGAGGATCCTGAGACCCGCGGGAGGGCGTGAGTGCGGTGGGCCAGGTGGAGCCGGACACGTCGGTTTGCTGTTAAAATTGCCCTTCTCTCTGGAAAAGGTGCCAGTGCCCCAACCCTGGATGCTGTGGTTTCTCCCTTTCTTGTTGCTATTGATTACCCGAGTGTCGACTGTGATCGACCTTTCATGTTGAAGAGGCTGAGGCCTACTTTTTAATGTCACCTGCTCAGCAAGGGGCTCGCTCTATCCCTGACTTTGGCCACTGAACCAGGCCACCTCTTTGAACTCTGCATCTTGGCCTCCATTTGGGGGTAAAGTCGAGGTGACCTTGAGAAAGGGAGTGAGTGTCTTTTAACAAGAGACATTTTGCCCCTGGAATTTCCTACCAGCTAGTATAAACAAGAAATATTCGGTAGATACTGATTTGCCACCGACGTCCTCATGAATGTCATGATGTTTTTATTTTCTGTTTGATGAGCTGGAAATAATGGCAGGAATAATGATTAGATCCCATGCTAGTTTATGTTAGGCCTTGGCCATTCCTGCACGTAACGTGTCCTCAGAGTCCGTGCTTTTTCCCGAGTGAGTGTAGGGGACCCCGAGTCCTTAGCTGTGGGCTTCTCATGGTTTGGCGGGTGGCAGTTCTCAGTGAGGAGGCAGGGTTCCCGCTGCTCAGAGGCTAAGTGCCGGTCACGTCATGGTGCCCTCATTCATGGGGAGTTCTTCTTGTGGGTGATGCATTGTGCCTTCTCATCCCATCCAGCCTCCTGGGCTCCATGTTCCCCATGCCTCGCGTTATATATGCCATGGCTGAAGACGGGTTGCTATTTAAGTTTTTGGCCAGAATCAACAACAGGACCAAAACACCCATCATCGCCACGCTAACCTCAGGTGCCATCGCTGGTAAGAACTGCATCTACCTTCACATGCCAATATTTTAACACCCGTGATTATTATTCCCTAGGGAAATATCCTCAGTTGAACTGTGGTCTGTGAGAACTTTTAATTGGTCTTTTGAACATTTGGTTTTTACCCTCGGAACCTGGTGGTTTATGTGGCAATGTGACTGCCCTTTTGACAAAAGACGGAGGCCAGTGTTACAGAGGATGTGATAGAATTCTCAAAAGTTTGATTCTTCTAATACTCTTACCCTCTCATTGGTCAGAGCTTGAGACACACATGCACAGTCCCTTTAAAGCCATTAGTCTCCCCATTTCCTGAAAGTCCCTGAGTAGACTTCGGTGAGATGACATCTTGCATTTTCAAGCCAAGTACACTTTGTATTAGTACTGGAAATTCACTGTCCTTGTATCTTAGCTCGTGAATTCTCTGGAAAACGAGGGGTCCCTTATGATCAGCATTGTATAAAATGTGCCACCTCTTCCCCAGGGGATACTGAGGGTGTTGCTGATCAAGCCATTTGCCCTAAGTGTAGAAACCATGGCAGGCCCAGAGGAGGTTTATCGTGCCAGATAGGAGGTTCCTCCCCAGGAGGTCAGTTTTGACAGATGGAATCAGCGGGCTGAAGAACGCTTTGAGCCTCGCTGACGTTCCAGGGACCCTGATTAAGGAAAGGGGGCTTATATATGCACGTGTACCCTATGCTGTTTCAGGCATGTTTCCTCCTTTAATGATGGCGTTTCATAGCCCAAGAGGCAGAGGGACCTCATTGTGCAGAAGTGTGAGGGGAGGTGCAGAGGTGAAGACAGGACGTGCGCCCATAAGTGTGGTTTGTTTTTATGCCAGAGGCCGGCTCCTTCTGGACTGTTAGTAGAAAAGTGGGCCTTTTGGTGAACTAGGACAGATGACACCAGTCACAGCTTGTACCACAGGGACTTATCAAATGGCCATTGGTAAGATGGTCATCTTAAGTGAATGAGTTGTTGTTAGTAGTATTTATGCCATTAGCAAAGTGGGCTTTGTTTCGTGGATTAATATCACATAATAAAAGAAAGCTAGTTTTGTATTACACTCATATACTGGATTTATCGTGTAATTCTACTTTTTTGAGAGTGAATTAAGATTAAGAGACACCATATGTCGGAATACAACCAGAACATTTAACAGGTTATAGAATTGGAAAAAGTGAAGGTTCTTTTCAGTATTTACATATAATTTGATCATATTAAAAACTGGCCTAAATTTCCCCCTCATGCTGATTAAGGGAGATGAAACTGTAATCGTTAAAGTGGCTATAAAGTACATGCATGCATTCACCAAACTAAGGATTTACTCTTTCTTTTTATTTGGTGGAAGTGTAAATTAGTATTAGGTTTTCTAAAATCACCTCACATGGAGAAATTTGTCTCGAGTTTCTCTGTGAGTGGGAAGCTGGCATTTGTGGCGTTCACGGCTGGACACTTCTAACTAGCCAGGAGGCCCTCACTGCTCCTTAATCCTATTATTATTATTATTATTATTATTATTATTATTATTATTTTTAAGATTTTTATTGGGGAATTGGGGGATGGGAACAGCGCTGGGGAATTCGGGGAAGGGGAACAGACAAGTTGCTGTTCTTTTGTTCTTCAGTCTAGTTGTGGAGGACGTTGCTTCATTGACTCAAGTTGGCACCATCATTGCGCTCTTCCCGGGCGAGGCAGATCAGTCGCCGGCTTCTGGACGGCTGCTCACGGTGGCTGCTGGCCACTCACGCTGGCTGCTGGCTACACACGGTAGCCCATGGCAACACACTGCAGCCCAGCTCCAGGTTGAGCTGTTGTTCAGCATCTTAGCTGTAGAGGGCAGTGTCACTGGCCCTCATGTGTGGGATCTGAACTGGGGCCCTCTGGCATCCCAACCAGCTCTTAACCAACGCGCCACTCGACCGGCCCTCCTTAATCCTATTATTTATTCACAGTTTAAGTTTGTTTTAGTTGCTGTGATCTCTTGGGGCTTGAGAAATATTTGTGAAAAAGTAACGGTTTTGTGTTTATGCTTTAACTTGTCTTGATTGTGTATGATTTGAAAATAGCCCAAAGTAGACCTGGCCAAGTTATTGTTTAAATGGGAAACTTGACCTGCATATCCACATCGATATACACACACACTCACACAAAGTACAAAGCTTTTCAAATAAGCATGCATGTGTTATTTTTTCTAAAGTGTGGTCATGGTAAAGGGACTGAAACTTTTGGGAGCAACTCTTCCCTCACCCACCTCCTCATCACTGTTGCCGACCGATGTGTATATCTTGGATGATAAGCTCAGGGAGACCAGGACTGTCTGTTTTACCTCCTCGGTGGTATATACCATGCTCTCAGTGAGTGCCAGATATGTGGGTGGATAGATGGATGGATGGGTGATGGATGGAGGATGGATAAATGGAATGATGGGTGGGTAGATGGATAGAGGGGTGGATTGATAGATGTAAGTGACTGTCTATGAGTCAGCTTGGTATAGAGAAAGAAACACTAGATTCGGAGTTACAAGAACCTAGTTCAGATTCTGACTTTCCACCTACCAGCTGTGTGACCTTAGGTAACTCTCCCAATATGTCTGAATTTCAATTTCTCCATCTCTAGTGTAGGGATAGCTTTTAAAGTTGCCATGAAGATCAAAAAAGTCATGTTGATGAAAGTACTCTCTATAAATGTTAATTAGCACACTCTGTTGAGGACTGTGTATGCCATTTAATCCTGAGCTTTTCTTCCTTTAAGCAATGTCTTTCCATGGAAAGGGCCAGGGGTGAGAGGGGAAGGAAAAGTGGTACCCCTCGTGTGCCCCAGATCACAGGTGGGCAGTGGTGTTCTGGATGTCATTATGTGCAGAGGGTCATCCATGGATGCTGATGTTTGTCCCCTCCCCAGCTGTGATGGCCTTCCTGTTTGACCTGAAGGACTTGGTGGACCTCATGTCCATTGGCACTCTCCTGGCTTACTCTCTGGTGGCTGCCTGTGTGTTGGTCTTACGGTATGTATGGCTTTTCTGGGTCCCACAACGGAAGTGCACATGTACCCTCCTGCGAGCCTCTTAGCAGTTAAATTCATGGTTTATACAGTGTAAATTTCAGGCCGTTGGGAGCTGCCCAGGAGAAGGTGGGATCTAGTTACATTGAACACCCTTGAAAAAGGGGGTGGCCCCACTACCCTCTATGATGTACCCTTATTTTCTTGGCTAAATGTTGGAAGACTACCCCGACTGTTGGGCCTGGATTCTGGGATCATAATTTTTGAAGGCTTAGGGTAATGATTTCAGTGTGGTCCAGAGGGGATGGGGCACTGGCCCTGGTAGGAATTGGGAAAGTCCAATGGAACTTGGATCACCATGATGACCTGTGACACTCAGGTTACTGTGATGCTTCATTGCACTGCTGCTGGAGGAAGGAGTCCCAGTACATGGTGTGGGGTGGCCAAGGCTGACCTTCAGGAAGACTTTCTGAGTCCTGGCTGTTCTAGCCTTGTGTGTACCAGGCCAGCCCTGGGGGTGGCCATAATAAAGCAGCCCCAGGCCTAGGCTTGGTGTCGCAGTGTTCTCAGCTACCCCAGGATTCCCTCCCCGACAAAGCGTACCCCCAGGAGCCAATTTTCCTTTATTCTGGAAGGACAGGGCTCTGCATCCCCACTCCCAGGAATGGCCTGAGGTGGCGGCATTCTTCATGAGAACATGTACTCATGGAAACTCAGTGTTGGTCACTTGGAAAGAGCCTCCTTATTTCTTTTCAGGTATTTATACTTGTAAGGCCATGGATTTCATTTCCAGTGTGCCCAGAAACTAATATGTATAAAACCTGGGTTGAGCCATGGCGCGGCTGTGTAGAATCAGCTAAAACTAGTTTGTGACCAAAACTGGTCTCCCCAAAGGCTCAATGCTAGAATCTTCTCCAAGGTCCCCCCACTTAATGACCGAAATAGTGTTGCATAAGTGAATCAGTGAAAATAGAGTGAATATCTTTCTGCTCCCTCTGAGAGTGTATGCAAAATAATTCATAAGGCACTCTGTTTTTCAAAGCTGTTGGAAAAGATTTGAGCTCTGTTTGTTTTCGGTGGGAAGATGAGGAGTCTCACTGAAAATGACTGCTGCACTTTGCCGGTTGCTTGTGTCTTAGAAATCATTCCACAGGCTGGGTCTGTCATCTAGCTCTATAGATTTATTTATATGAAGGCACTTGGAATTCTAAAATAAATTGATCCAATTAAGCCTTGCACACAGAATATCTCAAACCCATCAGCCTGCAGACACATTTCTGCGGCTCTCTGCACCCAATAGGATCCTAATGTTATTGCTTTCTATTTCTGGCTGTGCTTTTAGCTCCCTACAGCATAGTTTTGTTAGAAGTGGCCTCATACCTTAAGCATCCAAGGGCCAGTGCTACTTGTGAGAGCCAGAGAACCCGTCTCAGAGCGTTCCTCTGTGTATGGTGGAGGTCAAGTTGTCTCAAAACAAAGACGCCAAGGAGGGTGTTGTCAGAAGCAGGAGCAGAAAGCAAGGACCCAGCTCTCCTCTTCTGTTTCCAGTTTTCCAGAGAGGATGTCATTCTGATCATCTTCCCATTTTATGCCTTATGTCCTGGGCAACTTACCTTTGAAAGCTTAATAAGAACTTGAGATAGTGTATGTTCTTTTTCTGATGAAAGCAAATCGTGATGGTCATGCAGCACATTTTTCTGTGCAGGTATCAGCCAGAGCAACCTAACATGGTATACCAGATGGCCAGAACCACCGACGAGCTGGACCAAGTAGACCAGAATGAATTGGTGAGCACCAGCGATTCCCAGACAGGCTTTTTACCAGAAGCACAGAGGTTTTCTTTGAAAACTCTACTCTCACCCAAAAACACGGATCCCTCCAAATTCTCTGGGCTAATTGTGAACATTTCAACCAGCCTCATAGGTAAGAGCCTGCACTTTCCTGTAAGGTGTCTGGTGTCCTCCTTGTTAATGTTGCATGGTTTCTTGTCACTGGGGGTGGGGGGAGATTCCAGAAGGGATAAGCACCTGTTTTGCTGCTGGACTGTACTGTCCGTTATTCTATCCTCATTGTAGGCAATGCCTACAGAAATAGAGCCTCCCTTTCCATGGGTTTTGAGGGGAACTGAGGATATCCATGGAAGTTGAGAAATAGTAGAGATGTATCTCTCTTCATATCTTTCTCTCTCTCTCTCTCTCTCTCTCTTTCTTTCTCTCTCTCTCTCACAGCAATTCTTATCATCATCTTCTGTATCATGGCTGTGCTTGGAAAGGAGGCCCTGATAAAGGAGGAGTTGTGGGCAGTCTTTGTACTCATTGGCTCTGCCATCCTCTGCTCAGTGGTCACGATCATCATCTGGAGACAGCCTGAGAGCAAGACCAAGCTCTCGTTTAAGGTGAGTAGGGTCCCCCAGGGGCCTGCAGGGAACCGTAGGACAGACCCTGGCACCCCTGATGGGAGGCTGGCCCTGCATGGGCCCCACCGGTCCTGGGTGTCTGCAAGGCAGTGCGTGCCGGCCAGCTTCAACACTAGAAGGCAAGAGCCCGAGGGCGCACAGTGCCTGCCAAGGCCCTGATCCTGCAGGAAGACAGCCTTCCCTGCCCCGGCTCCCAGGTGGCCCAGCAACACCTCATCCACAGGGGCTTCTCATAGTGTCATCCAGGGGGATCGCATGTCATTACCGGCCTCGGAGGTGACCGAGGCGTCTGTATTTTAGGTAATACAAATAATAAAATAGCTTAACCTCAGAGATGAAGGGAAATCCTTCTGGCCCCTCCTGTAGCAGGAAGATAGCAAGAGGGGAAAAGGAGAAGAGAGCTTCCTTGGGCGATTAGTGCCTTAGAACCAAACTCTCAGCTACTAGGCTTTCCCCGCGCGTGTGTGTGGTGGGGGCTGGGGGCTGGGGGTGGGATGGGCACGCACTTCCTCTTCCCCATGTCAGTCTCAGGGGCACGGTGTTTCCCCGTGTAGTTTTGATAAATGACGCAGACCCCGTCCAAGCTGACTGCCACATCGTGTCTTTGCAGGTGCCCTTCCTGCCGGTCCTCCCTGTCCTCAGCATCTTCGTGAACGTCTATCTCATGATGCAGCTGGACCAAGGCACATGGGTCCGGTTTGCGGTGTGGATGCTGATAGGTACGTCCGGCCGGGGGTCCCGCTGTGCCCAGCATGTCCGATAGATAGCCCGGCATCTCCTGAGGTCCCCACCCCCGGATCTGGTACCCTGTTGCTCACTCGTCTCCCTACTATTTGGCTGGATGACTGTCATCGAGCCCTCCTCGGTTCAGATTTTAAAACCCAGTGGAAACACATGTAACCAGCGGTTTTCTCTCAAACAATATGGAGCTTCCCCCTCCCTCCCTTTCAGGTACTTTGTGTTTTGATAGTCTCGTGCTTGAACTGGTTATGTGCCTGGGCAAGAGCTTGACTTGAATGAGAACACAGCTGTGAGTCTGCCGTCCGTAAAGCACTGGTTCGTCTCACCCCATGGGAAAGTCTGCGCTGCCCTTCTGTGTGTGGGCTGCGGGTCCTGGCCGGGCCTGCGAGAGGTGTGGGAGTCACCGCGCGGTGCTGGCCTGTGTGGGACTGGCTGTGGCCTGCCCCCTCTCTGGGCCTCTGCCACCAGTGCTGCAGGAGGTGGACTCGGGTTCCTTCCTCAGTGTCTGATGCAAGGGTCTGGCCTGGACCTTCGTCCCTCAGTGTCCCTGAGAAGGGCAGTAAGCCCAGGACAGGGGCTCCGCCAGCCTTCTCAGCCCCGGGTGCTGCATTCTGGGGGCAGATAGCTGCTCCGCCGCCACGGGATCTCCGGGGGGCACTTTGCTGGCCCATTCTCTATAGGCCCCTCACCCACCGCAAAGCATAGCCCATGGCTAGCTGGACAGATGTCTCCCGGAGAGCCTGTCTGTAAGAGAGCTGGCTCAGTCTGTGCTCTCACTCGCTCGGCCCACTGTGGCCATTTCTCGAGACTGTGGGCAGAGGCGCTCACTCCCGGGCAGAGGTGGAGCGTGCCTGCTTCTGAGCTTCCGGCGTTAGCTGTTTCCTGGACTTTTGGGGGCTGAGTCCTTCTTTTAAGGCCTGCTCTCCTTATGTCACCAGCACAAGGGTGGCCCCAGGGTGGCACAGTTCCTGGGTGGAATCTCGGCCCCTCCACAGACCTTTGGAGTCCCCAACTGGACCGGACTGCGTTCCCAGGTGACCTGAATGGCTGCTGCAGTGGGACAGTCACTTGTGCAGAGAAAGTGGAGGCATTCAGGCAGACGTCACGGACCCGGGGCAGCCCTAGTATCTGCTGGAATCCCACCCTGAGGGACAGCGAGGCCTCCGCAGTGTCTGTCCTGTCCCCCTCCAGCGGCCACAGGGCTCCTGACCGGACCAGGTGGTCAGTGGGTGAAGCTGAGGGACCGATGCCCCTCCTTGGGTTCCCAGCTGAGCTGCTCCCCTGCTCAGGACCTTCCCTGATGTGAGGCTTTCCAGAAGGACGCATGTGGAGGCGAGACGGTCACCTTTGCTGACCCTGTTTGAAGAGTCGTATTGTTTTTCCCAGTGTAGAAAGTCAGCCCGGACAGGCAGCATGGGAGGCTTTCCTCAGCTTTCCCGAATCCCTCTCACTCTTCACTGTTCCCTGCTTTCGGCCCACAGGCTTCCTCATCTACTTCGGCTACGGTGTGTGGCACAGTGAGGAGGCGTCCCTGGCTGCTGGCCAAGCGAGGACTCCTGACAGCAATTTGGACCAGTGCAAGTGACGTACAGGTCCATCCCCCAGAGGTGACAGCAGCCCTGAGGGACGCCCACGGACGACCCGGAAGCATCTGGCTCTCCCCAGCAATGCAACAGGACCCACCTGCACCCACAAGGCCCCCATGCAGCAGAAGGCTCACTGCTCAAGCTGCGTCCTGAGCCCACCGCTCGTGGGGCTCGCCCCATCTTACTCACGGTGGCTCACCAGGCCCCGTCACCTCTGACGGCTCCCTCGCTGGGGCCGCTCGGCTGTGGCTGACCACTGTCTCCTGACCTCCCTCTGAACAAAAGAAAGCAGCTCCTCTCCTCATCTGCTGTTGTGGCCCTCAGCAGAATGAGGTCACCTCCTTATTAAGTGGGAAGCCAGGCCTCGTCCCCAGGCACCGTTCTGGTATTGAAAACGCACAGACTCCAAACTCTTAGTACCCATCTCACTGCTCAGCCCCAAACAGCAAGCCATAGATGCAAGACAAGTACCACAAAATAGTATGTCCCCACAGTTCCACTGCAGAGCCAAAGGCCAGTGGTCTGCTCTAGAGGAAAAGCAAGGCTGGTTTCCTTCTGCCTCTGCCCTCTGCGTTGCTTCCAGAAGGGGTCTTAGAACTGTGACCCCTTCTCCACTTGGTCTCCAGGCAGGAGCTCCGCTCTGCTGCCTTGACAGACCCCAGCCCACTCCGCTGCAGGACTGAGGGCAGACGGGGAAGGGACCGCCACTATGGGAACAAGGCGGGGCCGGAGAGGGCTGGCCTCGCTCCAGTTGTGTGCACACAGGGCACCTCCCTCAGCCACATTCCCTCCAAGTCCGGCTGGTTCCTGCTGCTTCTGGCATCTCACCCCTGGCTGTGTGTCCTGAGTAACTGGAACATGACGTTGTATTTAAGGAGGACCGGCCTCAGATGAGCAGAGCTCAGAACACCATTTTCCATGGCTGTCTGCCATTCACCAAGTCCTGCGGTCAGTGTCTAGGGTCTTGTAAGGTCCCCAGGACAGGTGTGCACTCATTCTGAGGTGATGGCGACCAGTCCTCTGAGCCCCTCGTGGCCCTGACACGATCTCTGTGGCCCCTCTCTTACGCGGAAGCAAACTGAGTCCTGTGAGTTGCTGTGAGTCACTCCACCACATTAAGTTGGCACTTAGCTTTAACTTGGAAAATGGCCAGATAGTTACTCCATGCCATGAGCCTGCTGTCCAGCGTGTGGGGTCCACACGTGAGACAACTCGTCTTGCTGTCATCTGAATGCCGTGGGCTTGTAACCCTGCCCCGACCCCCTGCCTGTAGGTCTGCACACACAGCCCACTGCCCTCTGGCGCTCACACGTCTGCACAGGTGGGAGCCAGAGGAAACGGGAATGCTGGCCGTGCCTTCCTCCAGTTAGACTGTAATTCAGGAGGCAGAAGGGCCCACGTTGACAGGAGCTGAGGGGGCAGGTGTTTTAGACACCACGGAAAATGTACATGCTGCTTTCAAATTTAGTTTCCCATTTATTTCCCTCCTCCTCCCAGCCTTTGGCACAAATCTGGTAGAAAGAAGTCTGATAAATTGACAGCGCTTGTCTTTTCTCCCTCTGCCCCTGGAGGTTCTTAGAGAAAAACGCATAAATTAGTGAAACGGGCTTCTCTGGCAGGTGGGTGGGCAGCCCTGGGGCCGGACCACCCTTCAGGATCCTAAGAGCCCAAAGTCTGGATTTCCAAAGAAGGGTATTTAAATTTATATAGATTGGTGCTGTAAAATATTTTGATAGATATTAACTTATTTTGTTTGGGTTGTGTGCTGTCTTGGTGCCTGTTAGTTATTTGTCTGCTTGATCTGCCTGATATTGTTCCACATAAAGAGAATTTTGAGGGAGAGTGTGTCTAAGAAAGTTGGAGAGGAGAGAGATTTTTTTTTTTTACTTTAATTTCTCTTTCTGGCTGAAATTTCTGTGCAAGACAGCACCCAACAGACTGGTTACAACTGACATTTCAGCTGGCAACATCCATCCTTCTACAAAGTGAAAAGGTGTTTCCCCTACACTGTGTCACGAATGAGAACCTTCCGGGCGTCTCCTTCCTCAGCCCAGAGCAGGAAGGTGCTCAGTGCTAAGGAAAAGCCGGGCAGCCTCCCGGCACAGCAGGAACGCCCCCCATATGGGAAGGGACCCCAGGGAGACAGAGACAGACAGGTCTCATGGTCCCTGCGGTCCTGTTGAGAGTAGTTTGCTCTTTTCTGTATGAGGACAGTCATGGAAGGATGGTGTTGAGGCTAAGCCTCTCGATGTGAGTTGACTCTTATACACCCCCTATTCCTGCACCAGAAACACACACACACACACACACACACACGCAGAAAGAAAACGCACCCAAACGGTTTCAGACAGTTTCCCATCTCCCCACACCCGCAACAAGAATAGAATTCTGTTTCACAGCCCAGCCAGTATTTTCCTACATAGTCAGAAATTCCAGACCTCCAGAGACACACCCTTTGGAAATATTGTGTCTATGCTTATCTTACATTGGAAAGACCCGTTTGTGATAAGGAGCACCCTTTCCTGCCTCCGTAGGCCCCGCCCCAGACAAACCAGAGCCCCAGGACCTCTGCTGAAGGGGGAGGCTGAAAGGAGTCTGCAGGGAAGCAGCCGGGCCCCTGCGGGCCTGTGAGACAAGAGCCGCTTCCAAGAGGGGGGCCCTCGGCCTCTGCACAGCCCCCACTCCACTCAATCACACACCCTCAGCCCAACTTTGGGCTGGATTTGTTTTAACAAACTAAGTGAGTCTGAACAAACCCAGGCTGTTTGGGAAAGACTGCTAAATGTATGCTGTTATCAGAAGTCCCCACATCTTCCCGCCTTCGGTTTGTCCCACTGAGTGTATCAGGCAGTCAGCCTCCTGGTCCCATGTGCTGACTTGTGGTTTGGGCACCGCAGGCCTCCCCCCTGCCGTGTGCCCACCCCCAGCTCCCAAGGCACTGATACTGCCTTCTGCGCCTGTGGCACAGCCTGTGCTCCACCTGGGGGAGGTGCCAGGCCCAGCCAGAACCCTTAGCCACTGCATTTGCTGTGCTTCATGTGCATGGGGGCGGGGAGACTGGCGGGAACATGGGTTCTACCAGGTCTCCTCCCCTCCACCCCTGCCACTAAGCAGGCATTCTGAATTGACTGGGTTTTGCTGTCCCAAATAGGATGGCCTGTAGCCTAACATTGGAGACAGAGCTCAGGACACGGTGGGAGGCTGGGTTCCTTGAGTGAGTGGATGTGCCTCAGAAAGATCCCGCCCAGAGGGTAGGTGAGCTCACGGGTATTTTGGGGGCCTCTGCCTGGCTCTGCCAGGACCAATCTTATGATTTCAAAGTCCCACTATTACGCATATAACAAGAGCTGTCTGCATGAAGACAGACCCCATGACCAGTGTGTTCCAGGATGGATGGAGAGGCGTGTTTGTGGGCACGTCCACGCTCTGGGGCGTAGGTGTGTGACGTGTGAAGTGTTCGACTTCACCTCCGATGGAGCTAAGTGTGTGTTATGTATAATTGTTATGTATAATTTAAAATATGTTTGCCATCGTAATGAGAGTATTGTATGTAAGGCTCCTTAGAGGGAGCGAGATGTACATTTGGCCAGGCTCGCTTGGACGTTTTTGGTAATGAAATGCTGTATTGATTCAGTGGTGCAAGAAGCTACACTCTGTTTCATCATCGTAGTTATGATGGCCGATGGATTTTTAAAGAAAAGAGAAAATATCAGCTGACTTGCATCTTCATCTCCATAATCCAGAGTCTTTTTGTGTCCATTGCTTCGTTGAGTGGTAGCGCTCTCTTTCATGGGGGACCTGGACTGGCCAACGGTCTCGGGGCGTGGCTGTCAAGGAGCCGCCCTGGAGCGTCTGTGAAGCTAAGCTGCTGGCTGGGAGACCACATGAGAAGGAGGCCTTGGCTGTGAAGTCCACCTCGATTTTCTCAGGGTGTGAGCGCGTCCAGCAGGGTCAGGAAGCAGGGCTGGGAAGATGCACTTGGACTTTGTTAATTTATTAACAATATGATTGTGTGTTTCTTGATGACAAACTTTTAATTTTGGCACTTATTTTCTCATTTGAGAAGTTATAATATATATTTAAGGTAAGTTTCCTGCTTAAGTTGTGCCTTTCAGCGTCCATGGGTGTGAGGAGCACAAAGGGTGATGACCCAAGAAGGGTCGGTTTATTATCAAACCTGAATAGCTGTGGTTTCTCCAGCAGACTTTTTTTTCTACTGAACTTGGAGCCATTATTAAATGAATTGTGTTTTTATTATGTAAATTATGAAATATTTTTTGCTTGTTTGATGCTCTATTTTTCTAATAGTTTTCTTATAGTTGCTTATAATTGTGATACTAGATTTTAGATTTTGACGCTAACTGCAAATTAGGTTGGTCTGTGCTGGTCCCTCCTGTTTTTATTTTAAGAGCAAGCATCGTTACCCATCGCCTTTGAAAAATGTGAAACTCCGCTCTATCCCATTTTTGCTGACAACATTGTACGTCGACAACCCTATCATGTTTTATGTTATAAAATCCGACTGTTTTGTGGTACACTAGCTCATGCTTGTGCAAAGTCTAATAAATTCTGCCGATGGCTTCAGTGGGCACTGTGTGATCTCAATTCTAGCAGCTCTCAGCTGGGTCTCCAAGCATAGCAGCGCCCCCACGGAGAGTTCAGACCCTGCACTTTGTTTCTGTAGTGCCTCTCTGCCTGCCGGCACCGAGATGTACGGCCTCTTTCCCTTCAGCCATTTGGTGAAAATCATCCCAGCGATGAGCTGGAACAGTCACGACTAGATGATCCTTGTTTAGGGTCCTCTGATCTGTCCCCACCTCCAACTCTGTCCATGTCCTGCCATGAAGCTGCCCACTTGCTGACAGGCTTGGCTTTGAGTGGGTGCAGCAACACCCTTCACACCAGAACTTCCCTCCACACCTTGTGAGGATGAGTGCATTCAGGGCAGAGAGGGAGGGGGATTGTAGCTGGTTTGCTCCATACCCCCCCTTGAGAAAGCGTTTTTTTTGTGAGGCAAATTCATTCAAGTGGGCCTTAGCGCTCAGTCACTGACATGCAGTGATTCAGTAATCATGCGGGAAGATCTGTGGCCTGGAAGATAGAGCCTAACCTTTGCATCCTCTCAGCTGATGACAGTGCTGCAGGCGACATCCAGGCCCACAGAGAGAAGGGCAGGGAGCTGCTGCTGGGCCTGGCGCTGGCTGCTTGTCATCAGAATAGAATAGTGAAGTGCACCAGGCACATCGCATGGTTGTCCATCACATGGTAAACTAGACCACAGCCTGGACCGTGTGGAAGTGTCCCCACCCTGCTCCCAAGGTGTGCAGGGTCCAGGGCCATGCTCAGGCGGGGTTCTCCCTTGTGCCCCCCAGCCGGCTCCCCGGGGCGATTTCTCAGTTGGTGGTTCTGCTGGTAACTGGCAGGTGCCAGGGAGCCCAGCCCTTGGCAAACAAGGCGGGCCAGTTTCACAAAGCATCCCAGAGGGCCCAGAATTGGGACAGGACCACGGGGGGCAGAGGCAGGCCTGTCCTTGGTGCGGTGCACAAATCCGATAAGCACTCACCTGGGTCCAGCGCCCCACGGAGCCGGTTCCCACAACGCCACACTGCTACCTGGTGGTGGGCGCAGCACCTGCAGGCAGCCTGCCAAGTCCCTCCGTAGGTTTCAGCCTTTTCTTAGGAAACCCTGAGCCCCAGAAGCAGTCCAGGTTGCAGGCCTGTGGGGGAGTCATCTGGAGCACCTTCTCCCTGCACGGTTTGGTCATGAGACTTGGTGATCCCAGAGCTGCTACCAAAGCTTGTCATTTGCAGTAAAGAGGAATTCCATGGGGGCTTCTCACCAGGCGACATCCCAGGGTCTGCCACCAACTTCCACACCCACCATTCCAACCCAGCCTGGCCCAACCGCCTTCCAGAGCTGGACCAACAGCTGTGGGATCCTCTTCAAAGGCATCAGCTTCCTTTGAACAAAATCAAGCCTGTCCACCAACCCATCAATACAGCCATTTAAAAAATGCACTGTGAGAAAGGAAACAGGCAGTGGCTAGTGAGGGGAGCCCTTTGGACTGCTTCTCAGTGTGGTCAGCACCTCATCTCAGTGGAATCTGCTAAATTGTGGAAGGGAGAAGCAGTGCGACTTGCACTTCCCCACTGATGCTTTACATTTTTACTCCCTAAAACAAAAGTTCCTTCCTGAGTGCCTACTGAGATGTCAGCTCTGCAGAAGCGGGAAAGGGGGGTGCAATGCATCCCCTGCTATATCACTCTGGGAGCAGGGAAAACCAGAAACCACATCACAGAGAGCAGCAGCCATGCGCGGTGGCCTGCTAGGTCGTCTGTGCAGCGGGTGCCCTGGCATGCTGCACCCAGGCAGGGCCCAGGTCACATGCAGGAGGGCGGCCTCAGCTTAGATCTGCACAGCATTCTGTCCCTGTGGCTGGTGCTGGGGAAACCTCGGTGAGATAGGCGCACTACTCCCCATCTTCTGAGCAGGGCTCCCCTCCATGCTCAAGGGGGAAAGCAGCGCTGGGTGGGCAGAAACCCAGGGGGACTGGGGTTTTTTTGTTGTTCTGTTTTGTTTTTTAAAGAGATTTGAGAGAGATTAAAACGAAGATATTTAGCAAACTTGAAGTGAATTAATTGCCCTTGCTTTAATAACCAGGACAGCTTACCAGCCTTTGGTGGTGGGTTTTCTTTTTTTTTTTTTTTTAAGATTTTATTGGGGAAATTGGGGGAGGGGAACAGCCAAGTTGTTGCCCTTCAATCTTAGTTGTGGAGGGCGCAACTGGCTCAACTCCAAGTCCGGTCACGCTGCTCAGCTCAAGGTGCTGTGTTCAATTAGTTGCGGGTGGGTGTAGCCACCATCCCATGCAGGAGTCGAACCAGCAGCGTTGTTGTTTAGAGCACACACTCTATCCACTGAGCCATCCGGGCGGCAGCTCAGCTCAAGGTGCCAAGTTTAGTATTAGTTGTGGGTGGGTGTAGTCACCGTCCCATGTGGGAGTCAAACCGGCAGCCTTGTTAAGAGCACACACTCTATCCCCTGAGCCACCCAGGAGGCAGCTCAGCTCAAGGTGCCGAAGTCAGTCTTTAGTTGCAGGCAGGTGTAGCCCACCATCTCGAACAGGCAACCTTGTTGTTAGGAGCACGTGCTCTCACCAGCTAAGCCATTTCTACCACCTGTTGGCAGCTCAGGGGCAGCTCAGCTCGGGTGCAGCTCACTGGCCCATGTGGGAATCGAACTGGCGACACTGTTGCTCAGAGCTCGCACTCTTGAGCAAGCTCTTAACCAACTGAGCCACTGGGCCAGCCCTGTTTTTGTTTGGTTTTTTTTGTTGTTGTTGTTTTGCTTTTAAGCATTTGACCCCAACTTTCCAGTGGGCAGGACTCTGACTCTGGATGGCAGGGTGAGGGCCCAGAGACCTTGCTCTGTGCCTGTACGCAGAGGTAGCACCAGCTGTGTGGACAGCCTGGACCAACAGCAGGTGGGACTACATCCAGGTATACCTCGTTTTATTGTGCTGCACTTTTATTTGCCTCACAGATGTGTTTTTTTTTTTTTCAAATAGAAGGCAAGCCTCTCCACCAACAAAAAGATTACGACTGGCTTTATTGCAATACACGCTTGGTTGCGGTGGTCCGGAACCAAACCACTACACCTCTGAGGCCTGCCTGCACCCACTTCTGGGTTTCTGCCTGAGCATCACTCTTCCATCAGTCCTCCCCGCCGAGATGACCCAAGTCCCCCAGGCAAGGAGAGCCACGTGTGCAAGAGTCCTTGGCGCAGAGGAGGTGACTGAGTGGCTAACTTCAGAGGCCGCCTCTGGTGGCCGCACATTGGCTATGGGAGGGGGACACAGATCCCCACAGACAGGACGAAGCGGCTCTCACCTTGTTTCCTACACATGCCAGTGGGCAAGTCTGTGCCTTTGTTCACTGGAGGGGGACTTCACTTGTGGGGAGGACAATGGAAGGTAGTTGTTATAAAAATGGAGGGCTTGGGGCCGGCCGAGTGGCGCGATGGTTAAGAGCTCGCTTGGGATGCCAGAGGGCCCCGGTTCGGATCCCACATATGAGGGCCAGTGACACTGCCCTCCACAGCTAAGATGCTGAACAACAGCTCAACCTGGAGCTGGGCTGCCGTGAGTCACCAGCGACGGCGTAGGCTGCAGTCCCTGTGGCAGTGGGTTGCCATGGGCTACCATGTGTGGCCAGCAGCCAGCGTGAGCGGCCAGCAGCCGCAGTGAGCGGCCGTCCAGAAGCCGGCGACTGATCTGCGTCGCCCGGGAAGAGCACAATGATGGTGCCAGCTTGAGCCAGTGAAGCAACGTCCTCCACAACTAGACTGAAGAACAAAACGACAGCAACTTGTCTGTTCCCCTTCCCCCAATTCCCCAGTGCTGTTCCCATCCCCCAATTCCCCAATAAAAATCTTTAAAAAAAAATGGAGGGCACAGGACACCCCAGAAGACACTAACAGGCTGGGACAGGTTGACAAAGTGAAACATTAATAAATAAGTAGTCTCCATCAAAAACCTGGAAGCATGGGTGACCCAGTGGTCACCCATGGGGGATCCTGTGGTCCTCACGGATCCAGAGTAACTCCAGGTGATTTATCATCAGAGAAAGGTCTATTGTTCAGTTGTTCAGGAGTGCAGGCTTGCTACTTAATGTCACTGCCACTAAAAGAACTGGCCACCAAGGGGGTCCCCAAGCAGGGGGCTACAGCCCAACCTGAGGCCCGGCTGGGAGGGACAAGTGCTTTTAGGTTGAAACAATTGTGCTGGCTGCAAATGGGATGTTAAAGGGAGAGCCGCAGAGCTCTCCAGGGTCCCCCTGTTGGAGTGAGAAAGCTCATGATAAGGACCTGCTGTGATGGTGGCCACCAAACCAGGAAAGCACATCCCCTGCCACTTGTGAGAGAGCTCGGTGGCCATCAGGTGTGAACTGACAGGATTTAGGACAGACCAAGCTCTCATTAGGGTAGAAACAGCCGGCCGAGTGGCTCAGTTGGTTAAGAGCTCGCTCAAGAGTTTGAGCTCTGAGCAACAGCGGTTTGAGTCCCAGCTCGAGCTGAGCAGCCGCTGAGCTGCCAACAGGTGGCAGGATGGCTCAGCTAAAAAAAAAGAAAAAAAAAAAACAGACACCCATCTAGGTCTGAATTCAAAATCGACGGTGAGGTGATTGTACTCAATCTTTTGTGTCCTTTTTCCGCTGACTCCAGCCCACCCAGCCTATGGAAGACAGCCCAATGGAGCAGAGCCACTGAGATTCCCGATGTCAGAACCGGGCTGTTGAAGCTCCAGGGCTGCAAAACGGGGTGCATGGAGTCAGGGCAAGGGGGTCTCCAGACCCAGTGCCAATCAGATGACCCTGGCACACACAGAAAAGAAACCCAGCCTGCCAACGCCTGCCTGGCCTCCCTGCGCCAGATCCCAGCCTGACTTTCCTGAAGCCTGAGAGCACCAGGCCAAGAGTTACATCAAGTGCAAGCCACGAAAGTTCCCTTGAGTTAATTTTAATATGCTTCAAACACAAATATGCAACACAGAAACTGTAGGGGCCAGGTAAGGAACGTGTGACCCCCAAACAATCACCCAGTGTGCCAGCCCACCAGCTTCTCTCCCGCCCTGAACCAGCCTGAACCCTTCCCAGTGTGGGGTGAGGCTGGGGATGGGAAAGGGCACTGATGTGGCTCCCAAACGCCAAGAAGAGGCTGGTGAGGTTCGGTGGGTCTGTCTGAGGCAGGCGGGGTGGCTGCAGCATCTGTCTGTGGGAACAGACATCTCCATCCTGGGAGGTGGATAACTGGACTTCCATGTTGAGAGAGGTCCATGTCCTAATGGCGTGGGGGTGGCATGGCGAACGGGGGGCACAGCCACTGCCACCCCTCGTGTTCCAGGATAAGAGCCAGATGTGATGGGTGTCCATGATGAAGAAAGGAAGCCAGGACAATGTGGGAATTAGCCCAAGTGCCCAAGGTCAGGGCTGGTCAGGGCAGAGCTCCAGTCACCTGGAGAGGGGTTACTTAGTGCTAACATCACTACACCTTTGACCGCAATAGGCGGACACACTGTAGCACATCCTAACAGAACACTAAAATCTGTATTGCTGTGTAACTGCATTTAGCACATGCCGTTATGGACGCAGTTCCTAATTCGGAGTGCTGAGCTCCCGCTGAACTGATGTTTGCAGGGAGTGCCTGCTAAAAAATAAATGTGTACTTCGTCAACGTGGCATGATCTATCATAATGGAATGCCCAACTCAATATCACAGTGTCATGCAGAGCCACGAAAGGAAAAGAGAAATGTTTGTTCAGTGGGTATCTACTGTGTATGTCCCCAGGATGGGCAAGGACCCTTGGAGGTTTGCTAGAAAGGAGATTGACCTGAGGCCAAGAAGCCCAACCTTGACTCCTACAGGGAACACAGACCAGGTCTGTCTTTGTGCCAGCCACACATGGGCCGAGTAGGCTGGGCCCTGGGCAAGCCAACCCCTTCCTTCTGGGGCCGTCTGTTCCCCACCACGGACATCCCTGCATGGGTCTGCTTTCCTTGGTCATGCTCAAAGACAGCCCTGTGCTAAGGACAAGTTCAAGGGACCTTAGGGAGGAAAGTGCAGGATTTCTGTCATAAACAGGAAACAAAGGCATCATTAGCATCACCTATCAACTGTTAAACTACTTCCTTCTTTTGGGCGTCATGCTCCTAAACTTCCACAGCACTATAGGTATACCTTTCACACTCTAAGTCTACCATTTCAGAGACAAATGCCAGTCCAGAAGCCAGTGACCACTGGCTGGCTGTTTCAATGGGCCCCTCTGTGTGGAAGAACCTCCTAAGCCTAAGATGGAACCACTGTCAGCTGTGGCATTGCTCGGTGATCCTGCAGAAAATATACATGGGTTCCCGGGAGATCATGTGATGCTTTAGGCACAGTGTGGAACTGGTCCTCTAGGATGGAAGGATTGGTTTTCTGGGAGCCTCTGCTAGAACCCCTGAGCCACCTCAATGTACAGTGATGGGGCTGAGTTATTGAACCAAACGGAAGGGGAGGTTGCTATGAAATGGGGGCCTGAGGGTCATATCGGTAAGCTGAGCATTAGCAGCATCAGATCAGAGCAAACCACGTGGAATGCCGGAGATTTCCTACTCTGTACTTGGTCAACAGACCCTATCAGCAGTTCCCCTTCTTGAGGACAGAGGGCGAATGGTCTTGGTCAACTCCAAAGTCATCCTCATCCTCACTCCAGAAGGTCATGCTCTTCTGTATTTTCCTAAGGGTGCAACAGCTGAATGACAGATTCCAAGATGTCATTTAGGAAAAAAGCAAAAATTGTGTTTACAAGACTATAGGTGATTCACTATCATGAGTAGCATCCATGAAGCTGCTAAACTCCACAAGGTTTCCCACCGCTCTCCCTCTCCACTCACGACAGGAACATTAATTAAAACCTGCGAATGGAATAATAGTGATCTCACATCATGTTGACTAAGAAGCTGATCGTTCCAAAGGCAGTTACCGTTCACATTTCGCTGGTGTTTGTGTTAGAAAGAGTACCACTTGGTGGCAGGTTGAAAGGCGCTTCTTCTCTGTATCTTTTTTTTTTTCCTTTTTGTATTTTGGGTAGAAATATTCCTGGAAAGCTAGATAGAAATGCATTTTCATTTCCCAATTATTCTTAGGCACAAGTTAGAAAACTGCTGACCTTCACCAAAATATGTCAGCACTTCGTGTTATAAAAAATGCAATTCGGAACGGCCTCAGTGTGCATATATGTAAATCTAAATATACACACACATCGGTGCAGTACAGAATGGTTATTCAGTGTAAATTCAAAACTGAGCTCTTTGTCCTAACCTGAAATTCTGCAGTGAAAGTTCTTCGCTCAAGAACAACTGGAGCTTCTTTCTTTTGGCTCTAACTACGGTCAAACGTTTGCACAGGAGACACTACCGTGAATACTTTCCTAAGTGTCAATACTGGGGCAGTCTCACACGCGGCTCAGGAGAGAGCTCCGCGAGGATGCGCTGTGCAGCTACTGAGCATGCGCGCAGGGCCTGCAGGCCGGCCGGGGGCTGGACTCCCACAGGGGACACCAGGAGCTCAGCTCCCAGGGCTGCGTGGTGACGTCATCTGGGCGTCGAGCTGACTTTGGCTGGCGAGGAGGGCCCAGAGGAGGAGCCGCGGTAAACCGGGGACGTGGGGGAGAGTTTAATCGGGCTGGTTGGGTCCCCAGTTTGGAGCTTCCAAAGCAGCTCTTCGTTGGTCCTGCTCAGCCTCTTCTTCTCCTGGGTCTCTTTCTCCACGTACTCCTGGAGATTGGCGTTTTCCTCTGACAGCTGTCTGCATGGGGAGAAGACACCGTCAGGCAGCAGTCATGCCAGAGGGCCGTAGCTTGAGATTGCTGGGCCAAGGGAAGGGCAAAGGGAGGGAGGAGGCGGCTGACGCTGCGGGGAGAGCAGGGACAAATCGGGCCACCGTCATACACGGCCTTGGCTGAACCATGACTGCCGCTTGTCCCACCGACACACCTGTTCCCAGAGCATTCCTGCCAACACCGAATCTGCTTGCATCCCTCTGCCCCTTGCAGGAAGGTACTGGCTGTCCAGTGGACAGAGCAAAAACCAGAGGCTGAAGAAGGAAGGAGGTGAGAGTAGGGAGCCGGTGGGAGAGGCCCCTGGAGGCTCAGAGGTGGTGACGGGTGACAGTCACCATAGCACAGACACAGTGCTGTTGTCCCCCTGCCTCTATCAGGCCTCTATGACAGCAGTGCCTCCCGCTGCCGTAAATGCTGGTCTGTCCATCTACCCTCCAGCTGGACTGTGAGCCCCAACGCACACGGGCCAGAGATTGCTTCTCTGATCTCGGCACCCATCCTGGTGCCTGCACAGGTCACACGGAGATGGCTCCACCCTCATGGACGACATAACCTCCTCCGGCTGGCTGAAGAAGCTTGGAACCCTGTTTTACTCCATGCTGCCAGCAGAAGGGGGTGTCTCCACATCCTTCCTCCGAAGTTTGGACTGAGATAGAAATGGCGTCACTCAGGAGCAGCTGCCTTTTGGCCACACAGCTTCTCTCTGGCACGTTCCATCCCTGCTGTCCTCTGGCCAGGGCCAGCTGATCCCCGGCTCAGGACAACAGCTGAAGGCCCCACAGGGGAGCGCAGCTCCTACTATGGTTCCCTTTTGCCTGGGAACACCCAGCTGACACCCTCTACAAAATCTCCTCCGGAAATAAACCCCTTCAGCAACCAGCTGTGTCTGGACCCCTCCCACAGGCCTTTGGACCGTGTGTGGAAGCCTCACCACTCAGGAGTGAGGTGAAGTGGACATTGGGACAAAAGCAGAGCCCTCAAACTCTGTTAGAGCAAAGCCACTTTGTGGGTGACACACGCTTTGTAAGTTCAGACATCCAGGCCCACCTACCTCGTGACAACAGTGTTCTGGTCGATCCTTGCTTTGAGATCTTCATTCCGCTGCTGGAGAACTTGGATCTTCTCCTCCAGGAAAATGTTCTTTTCCACCTGTAAAGGGTGCGGTGTTAAGAGGCCCTCAGCAAGCTTATAAGGTAGGCAGGGCACCAGTGCCCTTGGAGGGTCATCAAGAACAGGGTTTTGCAAACTGCAGGGCGCAGTGCATTGGTGGGTTATAAAATCAGGTTAGAGGGTGTGACCAGCATTTGTTTTTTAAACAAAATAAAACAGGAGAGAAAATACAAGAATATGCTGTGTGTAGTAAAAGTAAGTATTGTTATACATATAATTTCATATTACATGTATTATGCGTGTGTAAGTATGTTATACTAGATTCCTGTGTAGAATATATTTCTTTTTACTTAAAAAAAATTTTTTTTCAGTTACAGTTGACATTCAATATATTTTATATTAATTTCAGGTATATAGCATAGTAGTTAGACGTTTCTATAATTTAAAACATGATCCCTGACTAGTACCCACCTGGCACTATATATAATTGTTGGAACATTATTGACTGTATAGAATATGTCTCTTACAGCGAGTGTCCCAGGCCCTTGTCATTGTCAGAGATAAGCCGTGATCAGCACCAGGACCCTTGGCAAATGGGTCCCCGGGTCCTTCCCAAAGGGTCACTGTGCTGTACCTGTGACATTCTGAATTAATGGAGGGATTGAAATATAAAAAATGTGGACACATTTTTCCTTCTGAGGCTATGGGCAGCAGGAGCACAGAGCCCAAGGCCAGCTTGGCACTTTGTCAGAAAGTAACTTCATCCACGGCTGTCATTCCCCTGCAATTTTGGCCATTCTCTCTGTCATTGTGTCCCCCAGGGCCAGAGACCTAGTGGAAGTAAAGCCCCATTCTAAGATGAATTTAGAAGTAAGTTATTTTTTGAAAAGAATATGACAATTTTACTGTCAGTGTAGTTAATCTTTAAAGAAAACTGTCACTTCTCCAAGAATTAGGGTTAGAGATCAGAGCCTAAGGATGGGCCTCTGTCCCCGCACTTGGGCAAGGCGCTTGACCCCCAGCTCTGATCTTTGCTCCCAGGAAGTGGGAAGTGATTAAATCAGTCCTCTTTTATTTATTTATTTATTTATTTTGCTGGGAAGGGTTTCTGGAATGAGAAGTCATGCCTGCCTGCAGAACGCCTGGAGCATGGCTAAAAACAGTCTCATCAGCCCCAGGCTTGTAGGTGACCAGACAACTGGATGTGGATGGCCCAGACTACAGGTGGATAGCTGCTGGTCCCCACATTGGCCAGGCCACATGGCAGGGCCAGGAGGGCAGGGCTCGGTCCCTGAGCCCCCACTGGCCTTAGCTCTGGCCTTGCTGGAAAGCTCTGGGCTGCTGGACGGTGCCAGGTGGCCAACACTACTAAGGATACTGGTAAGAGTCACTCACGCCCAGATCTGCCCCCATCCTAACTGATAAGCACCGGTGCAGCAAGAGAGGTCTGCAAACAGGGACAGTGCTAGATAAGAGAGGGAACATGACAATCAATGCAACAGGTGGTCCTCCATCAGCTCCTGGTTTGGATAAGCCAGCTTCAAGGACATTTCAGAGACAAAAGGAGAACTTTCAAAGTTAGGCAAGATCAATTACTGAAATGGTGAGTTAAAGATGTGCCAACTGAAAAGAAACAGGACATAAAACACATGTACATGTGTGGGCAGGTCTGAGGTGTGAACATGTGTAGGGAGAAAAAGCTCTGGAAAGTGTCACCAGTGGTAGAAATAGGATATTTTCATTTCCTTATTTTTGTTTATCTTATCATTTGCTATAATGCACATGTTTCCCTCTTATAGTATCAAAAGGTTATTTTAAATTTAACACTAAGCAAAGGAAAAAGCACAAGAATCTATCTGAGACCCTAGGGCCAACTTCCACATCACATCCTAGCCTTTGCATGGTCCTTGTGGGGAGGGAAGTGAACTCTGGGGGGCTCTGTTCCCACAAAGGGGTACACTTTGCTGATTCTTTGGGAGCCAAGTTGAAAGGTGAGGCAGAGAGTGTGGTGAGGATACTGGGCTGGGGCTCCCCGCTGGGTGAGATACGACCCGTCCCCAGGCCTTCATCTCCACACCTATGAAAGGAGGCTCCTGGCAACACCTGGTCCATTGCACTGCTGAGGGAGTTAGAGAGCTTTGTGTGGGGCCTGGTGCTGGCTTGCCACACACCGCGTCCCCCCCCCAAGGGAAGAGTGTGGTGTGGCACTCAGAGTGTTGGGGGCAATGGAAGCAGGCTATCAGGAGGGGCCCAGAGCTGTACAAAAGGAAGCCACTGAGGTTCCTCATCAGAACTCCTGACTCAGTGATGAAATTTTCTGCTCAGGTGTCAGCAACAGGCAGGCCAGGGGCTCACATCCTGAATGCTGACAGTGATGACATCAGTGGAGACAGTAAGGCTACTGGGCTCTCCCCACGATATGGACCGACTCACCAGCTTTTCCAGCTCAATAATTTTCTTTTCTTGCTGGTGTATTTGCTGATTCTTCATCTCCAGCACCTGCTTCAAACTCTCCATGTCTTCTTCCAAGTGCTGATAGGGAGCCCGTGCGACCTACAGGGCCAGAGAGCACCAAGCTATTCACCTATGCATGGGGCCAGCAAGGGTGACCAAGGTCATGAATTCTGCTAACTAAGGCCTTCTCTAACAAGTTGCCCAGGAGGAGAGGGAGAAGGAGAGTGGGAGGGGAAGGAGGGAGGGAGAGGAAGATGTGGAGGGAGAGGGGGAGGGGGAGGGAGACAGACAGGGGAGGGCAGGGGAGAGAGATAGAGAAAGAGAGAGAGAGAGGGAGAGAGAGAAGGAGAGAGAACTTGCTCACAGCCGTTCTGGTATGGTAAAGATAACCACTAGTTTCCCACTGGGAATGCTAGTGAAAATCCAGCACCCTGGGGAATAGAGAGAGAAAGCCACCATCTCTGAAGAGTCCCAATGTTGGGATGGCTGAACAATACCAGCCCATCCCATCCCCAAAAGGGGGCTCATGGGGGTAAAAGGAATACATTCAACATTGGCTTTTGACATTCACCCAATTACTTGATTCAGCAGACAGGCGGGGATTTCCAGGCCCCACCTGTGCCCATGGAGTATCCCCACCTCAGCACAGAAAATGAGCAAAGTGGTTTAAAAAGAAAAGTCATGTTAGAAAAAGAAATGTCAGAGTGAGGTTGCCAGATGTAACAACAATAATTATACACACACACACACACACACACAGAGATGCACAGAAACACACAGACGCACAGATACACACACACAGATACACACAGACACACAGACACACACACAGACATAGACACACACGGTACCAAAATATGTACACACATTTTAAGAAAGGAAAAAACTGTAGTAAAATTTTAATACTCAATATATACCGATAACAAAAGATGAATAAAAGTCACATTTGACTTCTACAATTACAAAAGGTGCTCAAAGTGGTTACCATCAGCATAATTTTAACACAGCTTTTTCTTTCTTAAAATGCATATACATTTTTTGGCACCCTGTGTAATATATATAGTACATTTATATATATTATATATATATAATTGCATTAAGTTTGAATTTCAGATAAACAACTATGTTTTAGTATAAGTATCAAAAGGGACATACTTATACTAACAAATTCATTTACCTGTAATTCAAATTTCACTGGGTGTAATGTGTTTTATCTGGCAATCCTACATGGGAGGGGAGGAATCTTGCCAACTTTTCTGGAAAAAAACTCCCCTCGGCCCACTAACACAGGCTTTGGGCGTTTCCTCCCTGCGCCAGCCTAACCAAGGGAACGGGATGGAGGGGTGGTCCTGGCTGGGTGGAGAGTCCCAAGCTGTGCCCAGGGACAGCGGCGGGGGAGCGATGTGCAGCGTGGCAAGGATAACATTTAGACTGAGAAACCCACAGCTGTCCTGCCTCAGAAGTGATGTGCTGACAAGAATATGTTTAAAAGCCCAGGGAGGTCCGGACCAGCTGTCACTTCAGTAGCAGACCAGCACAGAGGCCCTGTCTTTGCGGGGAGACTGCTGAGGACCCCAACTGGCTTCCTGGGGTGAGGGTCAACAGAGAGGAGGGCCCCCAGGTGCAGGAAAGCTGGGAAGGCTTGACTACCTCCAGCTGCTCTTCAGTATTTTTCCTCAAAGCCTCCTCGAAGCGTCTGGCTCGGTCCCGCAGAGACTGGCTCTGGAAGGTCAGCGTGTCCACCTGGTCCTGCAAGTAATGACAAGAGAAGTCCAGCTCGGTCCACTGTGGCCACTGCAGCCTGGGGAGCTATCATGAGAAACCCCTGTGTAAAACCCCTAGGACATCAAAATGACTTGAAACAGTATGAGGAATCTCCCTGTCAGCGTTTCCTTTCTCCCATCCTCAGTTTTCTTTGCTCCAACCCCCATCTCACATTCCAGGTTCCTGTGGTTCTCAGCTGGCTTCTGACCTCCACTCGGCCTCCCTGGACCTCAGGGCTGGGATGCACATCCCTGAGGTGAGCTACCAGGTAAGCTGAGCCCTGCCCCACCCTCCATTTAGACCCTTCCCGCAAGGGACAGATGCTCCTGACCCTGTGTGCAGGCTGAACAAATGAAGGCATGTTCATTTGGGCGTTTCTGCACCGGGGGCACTGCACCCCTTCCCGGGCCGCCAGGGCAGATGCAACTCCTCTGACCCCTCCCTGGAAACCCCAGCAATGACTGATCCCCAAAGTTCCTGCCCAATGACACTATTTCTGTAACATTAAAACCTAGGGACTAGGGTTTCCCGTGAACTCTTCTGGCAAGAGAAATGGCCTCATTTCACCAAATAGTAGGAGCTGGTATTGTAAACACGTAATTCTACATAATAAGTGTAATGTATGAAGTGCTGGCTTGACTGCTTTCTTTATTGTGGCAGCAGCCCCTGTTTTGCGAACCATGGCAGGTTTCTTTTCCTTTTTTTTTTTTCAGTAACTTCCATTTCATGTTTAAGAAATAAATGTCCCCACAGGGCCATAAATGCAAAAGCTGGTGCACTCAGGCAACGTACTTGTCAGTGGGAGTTTGCCCACACAGGACCTGTCAAACATAAACCACCCCTGGCACCGGGGCAGTGGGCTTCCAGAATGCGGCTATCAAAATGCCTGTGTCACCCACCACGTGGCCCCTGCATCGACCTGGTCAGCACTACAGACAAAGCATTTCTTTCAAGTCTCTCCTCTTCCATTCAAAAACAAAACAGTGAAAACTGCATCAGGCAAATCCTACCTAGGATGGAGCTCAAATATCAAACGGAGGCTTTTTTGACCCTGTTCGCTATAACTCAAAACTGCCCCATAGGCACACACTGGCGTGCAGAAATCAGACAGGACAGACTGCTTTACAGCTTGGGTGGCTCCTTTATGTCAAGCTAAGAGCACAAAGACCTATCTAGCTGGTGACCTGGCCCAGCACAGCAACTCAGCAGTTTACCAATGGCATGGTAATAATGGAGGTGATATTAATAATAATAATAATAATAATAATAATAATAACAAATGTAACAATGCTTGAAACTATTAGACTAGCAATAGCTGCTATTTATTAGCATTTACCATGCGCCAACCTAGTGCTACACACTTTACACACATTATTGCCTTTAATCTGCTCTCACCCTGAAAAAGGTACTGTCATCACCCCCATTTCACAGATGAGTAAACTAAGGTTTCCAGAGTTTCTGTATTATCCAAGATTTCAAAGCTAGTTAGAGGAGGTACAGGGGTATTTAAATCCATGAAGTCACATTTCTTAACACCAAGCCTGCTTCTCTAGCGGCTGGTCTCCAGGGAGAGTTGGCTGAAGCAACTCCACTTTCCTTGCGCCAAACAACCTCCAGCCCAGAGGACTCGCTCATGGAGCAGCATTATGATGACAACATGTGTGATGCATGACCGTGAGATGTCAGGGGCAGGAAAACACTCACGATGAAACAAAGCTCTCACTCCTTTGTGGTTTGGGACTGGATGGGGTTTCTGTTACATCACAGTCTGGCTGTCCCCTTCCTGGTTTGCGTTCCCTAAGGCTAGCACATCTGATGGGATGAGAAGCGGGCGCATGAGGAAGGAGTCGGGGGCTAATTTGCCAAGGATGAGCCCACGAGGACGGCACACTGCGGGCCCAGCCATGGATAGAAGTGCTGGCTGCTAACTGTCTCCCACTTAAACATTTTTGAATAGTACACTCAGCAGCTGTTACACTGGCTATTGGCACAATCCTGGATCCTTTTCTAGGCCGGCTGGCTCTGCAATGAACGTGGCCAGGGGAAAGTGAACTCAAATGCCTGCCTTTGTATTACAGTTATGGTAATCAATGGACAATCATTGTTATCGTCATCACACGTCCAGATGTGAGGGTCCCTAATATTTAAAAAATAATCTTGCTATATTGGGGTGTCCACAGCTGGGTACAGAAGCAGGGCCACCAACCTCACCCTGCCTCCCAGGCAGCCCCTCCCTAGGTCTGGGGGCAGGCACCATCTAGTCCCACCAGCAGCTGTTCTGGGTCTCTACAGGGCAGAAGGGAGACACAAGCAATGTGGGAGGACCCCCACTGCCCCCTTAGAGGTCAGCAGGAAGCCAGGCAGCCCTCTGGCATCCAAGACCCACATTTTCTGTAGGTTAGCAATTGGAGGCCGAAAAGCATCTGTTCATCCCACCCACCTCCAGGTGATTCGAGTCCCTTTTAGAATTCCCAGATGTGTCCTGTGACTTCCGCCCTCCACAGCCCTTATTCCGCCTTTCCCCCTGCCTGGAAAGCTCTTCTCCCAAGTCCTCCCCTCCCTCAAACACAGCTCTGGCTCTCCTCTAATCACAGCAAGCGTGGAGCCATCTCTCTCGGAACTCCTGTGGCGATCACTAACGGTGTTATTCATTTGGTGCAACTGTGTGTTACCTTTTGTGGCTGGCTGTGACTGTTTGTGTCACAGCTCTCTGACAGTAGACAGTAGATTCTTTAAGCTTAGGGGGAATGTCTGGTCTCCCTCTATACGCCAATGCTTAGCACAGAATCTGGGATATAGCAGGTGCTGGATAAATGTTTGTGGACGGGACTAAGGATACTGCCATTTTCTTGACATCAGAGCTAAGGAGATATTAACCTGCAATGACAGCCGCAGCTTTTCAAAATTTTCTTCCAATTCTTTCTTTTCAAGCTCGTGGGTAGACATCAATTCTGGAGAGAAGACATCAAATTGTTAAGTTGGTCTTTCTTCTGAGAAGGAGCAAAGAAGACTCTTGCCAGCCTAAGATGAGAGACTTAGGTGGATAAGGGACACAGGTATACAGCTGACTTAAGCCTAAAGAGGCGCCTCCATTACTTTGAAAATATATGCAATGTTACTTAGAAAAGAAAAAAAGAATGAGGAAGGGGATAGAAGAAAGGGAGAGGAAAAAGAGGGAAAGAGGAAAGAAATGAGGAAGAGAAGCAAATGGAGCACAAACATTTCTCTCTCTCTCTCTTTCTCATTTCTATACTTTGTTCTACCATCCACAGTCCTCACAGATTCTCCAAGTGTTCCTAGTGGGAGTAGCTGGGTGACCCACGCTCTCTCTCCATTCTCTTCCCCTCCCAGGATTCCTCTTCCTCTCTACCATGAAGCAGCCATCTGGGGCAGCAGGAGGGAGCCTTCAGAGAGAGTGGGGCTGTGAGCACCCATCTCGCTGCCTGGGGTCACTGGACAAGGTGGTGAACGGGGAGGTGCTGTGTCTGCAAGGCCTCTGGGCTACAGGCCGAACACCACGGATCTCCAGGATTTGCTTGAGCAAAGAGTCGATGTTAAGACACTCAGACAAAAGAAAGGACTAATTGGTCTGGTTCCTCTTGGAGAGTTTGGAGCTATTCTATTTTATGAAAACTGTCATTTCAGTAATAATTTGCAAGTTAGGCAGGAAGAGATACCATGTAAGACTTATTAAGCAAATGGATTCTGTTTTCCTCCAGACGGGAACAGTCTTATTAGCTGGGTGAAACGCATCTGATTCTGGCTACACAGCGATTTGTTTGGATGTTATAACTGGAGGGAGGAAAGGTCTCATTAATCAGTGTGGATCGCATGCTTAGAACAGGAGAGTGCTGGAGACCAACAATTATCATTCTGGCTGGCAAGAGCTGCAATTAGGAAAAACTTTGTGGTTTCCATTGACCCAAGTCTTTTAACTAATGATGGGGACGTTCTCTAAGAAACCTAGTTGTTATAGCTGAAATTTACATTTGGAAAAAAAAAAGTTTGTGCTGATTTCACTAACATAAAACTATGCGGCCTTCTTTCTACCTGCCTTTGTCTAATTGATTCATTTTAATAGCCATTGAGAGCATCATCCTGACCATAATAATGAATTTTTTAGCTACCACTACATACACCTAAATTGCCTTGACATTGGATATGAGTTGAAGGCCGTGAATGTGGCATCTAAGCGAGACTTCATTAGTCAGAAAAAACTATCAGGTCTATTTATATGAAAATCCAGAAACAAAAGGCAACAGTGGCTCATTGCACCATTTCCATTCTTATTTCCTTTTAGAAGCCATTTCCTACAGTGCAGTCATGGGCGTTAGGGCACTTTCAGATGATCCCAATACACCCCAAAAAGGAAGTCTGTATCTATTCTGGAGATGGTATAAACCATGGCTAATATCTACGTACCCATATGTACTTAATTATTTTAAGGTCATGACACTCTGTCCCATAGTCAATACTGTGCTCTACGACAATGGTTCTCAAATTGTGCTGCACACTAGAATCACCTGGGGAGCTTTAGAACATCCCGATGCCTGAGCTGCACCCCAGAGTGATTAAATTGGAATTTTTGGGATTCACACATCAGTATTTAAAAAAAACAAAAACAAAAACTCCCCAGTTTTTGTGGTTCTAACATGCACCCAAGGATGGGAGCTGGCACTTGCGCTGTTCTTGCCATAGACGTCTTTGCTTTGAACATTTCTGCTGAAAAACTAATCGGCTGTAAGGCAATTTTCCCATAAGCAAGATAAAATAACTAGTAAGATAACTGGCTGACAGTTTGGGGTTGTTTTTGGTTGTTATTCGGTTTCATTTCTCCATTGATGATTATCGTGGTTACTCTCATTTTTAGATCATACATAAATCTTACCCAGCCCTCACAATGGTCTATACAGTGACAAGTAGATGAGGTGGTGGTGATGGTATTAAAATATCATTCCTTCCAAGTGATGACAATTTGCCCCAAGAGTTGTTTTTTTTCCTCATACATTGGGAGGAGGCTGAGGACTCTCTTTGAGGGTACAAAATTGAACCCACACCTCCCATAGAAGGAAGACAAGTGCTTAGGTACAATCCACAAAATAAAAGCAGTTATTTGAGTAGCGTTGCCATGATTCTATACACCTTTTAAATAAAAGTCTTCTTAATTTTGTTATTCATTTTTTCAAGTTTCATTATGTCCTTTTAAACATCCCTCTTTTATTTGTTGTGATTTTTATCTTTTTTCACAGCAAACTGTCTTGCAGCCAATTAGTTATGTGGCGAAATGTGTGTGGCAAGAATGCTTGTGGCAAAGATGTCTATGGAAAAGATGCTATGTGAAAATACCTAGAGCGGGTACCTGGTGCTCTCCATATGAGGCACAGTCAGGACATATGTGATACATTTTAAGGAGTTCTCAGGGAACGACCCTCCATGTGCCCAGGGTGGGCTTTTCCATGTACTAACAGTTCCCAGAGGTTGTAGGGCTGGTGCCTGAGGGAGGCATTGGCATGAGTATGGATTACTGCACAGCAGGGCTTTGTTGTTTTTACAAAGAACATTTAAAAAATAATGAAAAGCTAATGTTAATCTCAAACTGTTTAAATGTATTAATCTCTTGTTAAATTTCATTGGTTTTGATATACTCGAACAGCCATCTGACTGGGAGAACAGTGACAGGAGGAGAAATTGAAAACTAAATTGCATGGAGAAGTGTAAATGCACATCAAAAGTGTAAAAAGCTCCTTTCACAAAGTGAAAATCATAGTAGTACTTAGTATGACCCATGTAGAGCCCTAAGTATCCACAGGTAATTCAAAGTTACAAAAAAAATGTAAAAAGAAGGAAGGGTCCAGAGACTCCACTTAAGCCCCTGGTGAACGTGGTCTCTGAGCTCAAGATCCAGTCCCTGGTGGCCCCGAGAACACAGCAAGCGTGGGATATGTGCACCTACACTGGGACTGCCATTTATTTAATGTTATAAGGCCACAAAACAAGATGCAGCTCAGGATTTCCATGCCAACTTTAGAAGAGTGGTCTCAGATGTGGCGACCATCAAACTCACCTCAGGAACTTTAAAAATCTCGATGCCCAGGCTGCACCCCAGACCAGCTCCATGGGAGCCCTGGGGTGGGACCTAAGCTAGCACCAACCTCCTATTATAATTCGCCAGGGATTCCAACATCCAGGCAAGGCTGAGTGTAACTGCCTCAGAGCAAAGAAGTGGTACCTGGGTCCTGGCCTTCCATGTGTTCTTTCCATGGGGAGCAACACAAAGGACACGCCAGGAAGGAAAGGAAGGAAGAAAGGAAAGAGGAGCGAGAGGGGAGGGCGCCTGTGTCTGCAGCCCGAAGGTCTGACTGGCACGGCCCACCCTGCCGGCCACACACGTCACGCCCGGTAGCTACCTTGGACTTTGTGGTCATGGTCATCCTGCAGGATCGCGATGGCCACTGTGTGGTTGTTCTCCATCTCTAGGAGAGCGGCCTCATGGCTGGCGGTGATGTCCTCTACCTGCAGGAGAGTCACGGTTATGATTACACAGAGAGCTGGAGGACGCATGGCAGTGATATCCTCACTGCTTGGAGAACGGAGGCGGAATTCAATGAGTAAAGAGGTCAGTGGTCCAAAATATCAAGGACAAGTCATTCAGCTGAGATGACAGCTGTCCTCAACCTTGTGCTGAGGCAGGAGAGCCAGGATCTGGGGTGCTGTGGCCCCCTGGAGTGAGGGGACAGTCACTGCCACAGCCCAGCTGTCCACAGGAGGATAGCAGCTCCCACTGGGGGATGGCTGCCTAAGCCCCTCTTTACTGTCCTGGGCTTGGCTTTGGACCGTCCCCTTCCTACTCCCATTGCTTCACCGTGCACCAATCACCCCACGAGGTAATGATGAATAAGGAGAAGAAGAGGGTCCTCCCTTCTAGATGGCCTGCCCTCTGTTTTCCAGTGGCAGGTGGGAGCTGCAGTGCTCAAGATAAGTGGAGGGAACAAACATTTTTATTGAGCGACCTGCTATTGGCTACTCCACTTAACTCTCCCAGCAACACTATAAATATGTATGCCCATTTTACAGATGAGGAAACTGAGGCTCAGAGAGGTATGAAACGTTTTGCTTAAGGGCTAGGAGGTGGCAGAGCCATCAGCGGGCCCTGGTCTGTCTGACTCCAAAGGTGAAGCTCCCTCAAGCCTGCTGGCTCCCCAGCAAGACCAGCTGCCTAGAGGCCTCTCACCAACGCCAAGGCTGCCTGCAGACCCATGTGCGTCCCTGCGCCCTAGCCATCAGCTTGGCCTCCAGATGACAATCTGGGCCACCCGCTTAGCAACGTGGAGCTGCTCCTGGGAGGGGCTGCTGTTTCCGTGGCTGAAGGTACATTTCCAGGAGTTTAATCACAAGCAGCACACAACCAGTTCACAGGCTTTTATGTTCACGCTTCCCGATCTCCCCCACCCCACCACCATGGGTGCTGTTTTTGTTATCTTGTTTTTGTTATTGGGGCTGTTGTTTTAACTTCAAACATTTGATTTCCAGGAGTAAGGGCATAAAACGACCTCTCCCTACACGAGCACACCAAAACAGTGTTTTTCCAAATTCTTTGTCAGTGACCCTGGTGAAAAATGCTGTTGTACATTGTAACACAGCACACATACACAAGAACAAAGCTTCACAAGGCAATATTTTCCCTCCTTACTTGCAATAATCTGGTTTAAACATTTTTATTCCATTTTACTATGTTTATTTCAAAATACTTGTGGACCTACTAATGTGTCAAAACCTGGCATTTGAAAAACACTGTGCCCACTGTTGGTGGGATTGCAGATTGGTGCAGCCACTATGGAAATCAGTATGCGGGTATCTCAAAAAACTGGAAATGGAACTACCTTATGACCCAGAAATTCCACTCTTAGGTATTTATCCAGAAAAACTCAAGACACTAATTCAGAAAAATATATGCACCCCTATGTTCATTGCAGCACTATTTACGATAGCCAAGACTTGGAAACAACTGAAATGCTCATCGGTAGACGACTGGTTTAAGAAACTGTGGTACATTTATTCAGTTTCTTAGAATCCACGTATAAGTGAGATCATATGGTATTTGTCACTTATACGTGGATTCTAAAAAACTGAATAAATGAGAAATATAAACAGAAATAGACTCAGACACAGAGGAAAAACTGAGGGTAGCTAATTGGGAGGGGGTGGGGATGAAGGCGAAGGGGAAGGGATGAGACAATATAAATTGGTAACTACAATATGGCCTCAGGGATAGAAAAGACAGTCTGGGGAATATAATCAATAATGTTGTAAATATTTTTTAGGGGGCCAGGTGGACTCATGTCTTGTTAGGGAGGCCATTTCATAGTCGGTGTAGAGGCCTGACCACTGCACTGTACATCTGAAGCTGCCATTGAATAATATTATATGTCAACTATAATTTAATACATATATAGTCATGGGATGTGGAGTAGAGTGTGGGAATGGAGTCAATGGAATTGTAATAGATAAGTATGATATTGGGGGCGGAAGAGCAGTGGATGGGGGAGGGGGGTTGTCACTTTGTGAGGGGTGAAATGGATAACTATTGCATTGTTTTGTACACCTGAAACTAATAATAATAATAAAAAACAAAACAACATACAATGTGATATATAATGTATTACAAAATTGTACACTTGAAACCTATGTAACTTTACTAACCATTGTCACCCCAATAAACTTTAATTAAAAAATAATAATAATAAAAATAAAATGGTACAATCTCGAATAATAATTCCTAAAGTGCCAAAGATTTTATAATCTCCCAATATATGAGAAATAATGCTTTCTTACAAGAACCTTACTTCTAATAAAGAGCTTTCTGATCTTTATAGACTAGGAAAAAACAAACATACAAAACACTGTGCCCAGGTCCTGAAGGTCTTTTTTTTTTTTTTTTTTAAGTTTCAGGTGTATAAAACAAGGAAGGGTTGTAGGGCCAGTTAAACACATTGATTATTGCTTCCAGCTGGTAACATTCAGACACAGCTCAGGGCCCCTCTTTTCTTGGGGGACAATTCACAGGCCAGCCTTCAATCGGAAAGGAGGAAGCATTCTCAGCAAGAAAGGAAGCCCATTCATGAAGTGGGTGCATGGGGGTATTTTTATTTTAAAATGGAGGAGGTTTTCATTCTGGATACTATAATTGCATGGGAAAATTTGTCTGCCTTTTCTCTCCTAAGGTAAATGAGAACTTCATCCATGAAAACAGAAATATCACGGCAAAATCAACAGTGAACTCCACAGTGTTAGGAAAGGTACACCACAATTTGAAAATGGGCAAGGTATAGTATGTGATGATTCACTTTTATTTACTGGCCATTCTTGATTAAACAGTACTTTCCTTAAGGTGCAGAGCTATGAACCTACTAGGAATAAAGGCTGATTTAGCACAGTATGTGATTGTCCAATTCCTGGGTACATGCAGTTTTTATAGAATCTTTGTCCAGAGTGTTTCAGCCTCTTGGAAAAATAAATCACTGGTTAAAACAAAAAGGAAATAAACGTCCTTTCTGCTTCATTGCCGATGTCAGTTGAGCCAATAGCAATCCGTCTGTAGACACAGATGCCCACACATTATTTGCAGGTTTGTTACCCAGTTCAGTCTAAAGCAAAATCTCTCATCAATCCTAGGTGTGATTGCAATTTATTGGGCTCTTGCACAAACCACCATGTTCCAGAAGAGTCCCTGTGTCCCTGGTGGTGACGACGCCCTGAATGGCCATCCTACGTTATGTCTGTGGCTGAACGTATACCTTCCTGGTTTGTTGGAAGGCAGGTCTTTGATTTAGTGGTGACACAATACCATGCTCCATATATTAAGCATGATGAAAGTGTATGACCTGTTATAGCCCTTGGAGGTGCTTTTATGAATGAAATACTGATCCCTAACTCTGAAGGGCCATATGCGATGAGAGGAAGCCAACACATGCCGATGAGCCACGATTTGGGGACAAGAATCCTTACTCTTCAGTAACTGAGGTTTCTATGCGTCTTTATGGTCTGTAAGAGATGTTCCTTTTCTGGGGAAGGCGCTGGCCATGGCTGCTCATCGTCTTTCTCGTCCTAGTGTTAATCCCCACGGCTGCCCCCCACCTCCCCTCAGAAGGCTCCCTGGATTCTTTCCAGACTATGGGCTCCCACTCCCAAGCAGCCAGAGAGGACTCTCAGCCTAAGGACACCCCGAAAACTTCTGCAGGCATGTGAGAGGATGCAGACAAGTGGACCCCAGGGAAACACCAGCCCATCTGACGCACTGCCAATCACGAAATCAGAGGCAAGAGGCGCTAAACCACTATCAGGCCACAGCAAGCTTAGGCTGGGTGAAGCATCTTTAAACCACTGCTGGACCACCCTCCTCGACCTCCAGGAAGACACAGTTCTGAGGTGTCTGTCATGGTGCCCATCCAGTAGTCCTGGTCGTGTGGAAAGGCGGCTGTTCCTGCAGTGGCATGCGCGGTTCAGCTGGGCTGACCTACAGGAGCAAAGGGCTGGAAAGCCACCCTCTCAGATGGGTAAGATGCCACTGTGGGCTTACTTCATTCAGTCATTTGCAAAACGCAATTATCTGAGGCTTTTGGCAATTCACATAGAAAAGACTTACATTTAGAATGAATACGCATATGCTTTAATGAGTAAAGTGCCTTGGCTTTACTCATTAAACCCAAACCAGATTAAACTCCCACTGATCCCTATCCCAGACACGTACTCCCATCTGATGGGACAGAGGGTGCCACCTGTGTGCACTGTCTCCAGGGCTCTCTTACTGACTTCCTTTCCGTCACTGCTTACGACATTCTGGGCGTGTACTCAGAATGGGCAGCCATCCATCCAACGATGCCCGGGCCCACTTCATCCCATTCCAGGGCATGCCTTCTGTCCTCTCTTTGCCCCACCATGGGGACAAGTGTTCACAGAGCCCCCCCACCCCCACCCCACCCCCACCATCTCCTCCCAGCGTATGGAGGCTCTGGGCTGTGCTTGGTGGGGGCTCCAATGTTGGAAGACTAAGGGCCCCGTGGGACCTCATTCTGTTTGATGAGAGAGACTGGTTTTTGCCGAAGGCAGCTGTGTGCTTCATGAAGGAGGGCTGAAGAGACATAATGCAAGATGGTGGACAAAATGTCCTCTGTGCATTATGATGAAGCATGGGGACACCCAGCCTCCTGGTTTGTCTGAAAGGGTGATTTCCTTTGGGAAGGGTAGAAGGATGTCCTGGGTATGAGACAAAGCAAACATACATGCTCCAGGAGAAGAAGGGGAAGGTACCTCTGCTCCAACTTTAGTGACCAGAATCCATAATGCACCAGGGACCAGTGGTCCCCGGAGCAAGTGACTTCAGGGCCAGGTCAGGGAAGATGACAAACCTCTAAGGGGTCTTGGAAGAATGGGGTCCAGGTCACAAGTCGGATCACTGGATGCCAGGCTCTGTGGCTGAGTATCTTCGGGGGGAACAACCAAAGGCAGCCCAGAAAGGAGGACTAGAAGCTGGGCCAAGGAGGAACTGTGTTTGGGGCACATTGTGCATCGACAATGAAACTCCATTCTGTGAGCTTTGAGATGAGGAATCTCCAGCAATTTGGCTTTTATTAATGTGTAGCCAGCTAAGGCATGAGCCCTGGTTTTGATTAAACACCTTTTAGTCATGCTTTTGAAATAAAAGTCAGACCCTATCTTTAAAGGCACCGAGGGAGCCACAAGGCCAGGCCACATCCCCGCTCAGGCCCCACTAGAGCCCCAGGACTGAAGAGCAAGGCTGCGTGTCTGGTGACCCTACAGTTCTGGGCACTGGGGAGTGTTGACAAACAACCCGATGCCTGGCCCCATCAGAGGTTCTGATTCAATTAGTGTGTGGTAAGGACCAGGAGGGGCGTTTTCCCACAACTTCCCCAAGTGATTCCCACATGTAGGCAGAGAGAAACAGACTTTGCCTCTCCAGGGGAGTGGACGCCTGGGTTTGTCATATGGGAGACCCTGCAGCAGAGTCAGAGGTCAGCCTGCTTCAGCGCGTGAGCTCCCAGCTTGAGCAAAGCCACCGAAAATCCTGCGTGTCAGAACGGAAGCAGCCTCCTCACCGTGGCATGGGGCGCTGGGGATGAGGAGGACAGGCTGGTTAACTTGATTTTTAAGGCTGCAGGAGGACAGCTGTCACTATCCATGGAGTCAGCATTGCCAAGTGTAACTGTGCCTGATAAAGAAAACCGAGTGTGGAGTCGGGCCTGGAAAGCTGAAACCACAGACCATGCACTGCCACTGCACTGCAACCCTGCACGTGAGTCTCCTCCTGCACTCAACAAAGGAGCATTTATTCTACCTGGACGTTAGCACACAGGACTGCCGTGTCCTGCCTCTTCTCCCTCACTTGCTGACATGGGGTCACAGCCAACTTTCAACAGCAGGGACAGAATCAGGGGCCTGAGATTTAAATCGTCCACCCCACCAAACCAATGGGTTTCTGTAGGCAAGGCACAGCATTCCCGCCATAAAGTGTTCCCTTATCCTTGCAGCTGAAAGCAAGCTGTCAATTTCTAAACACATTGTCTGTGCTTCTTACCCCATGTTACAGTTTCTTAGGCGCTTCCTCAGAGCATCCCCTGGTTATCACCTGAGACCATGGGAGAAGAAAGCCCAGGTTTTATGAATTTCGGTATCTTTGGCAGTACGCAGACACCATGCTTTGTGTGCAGTGGGCATTCCCTAAATATTCTTGGCATAGATGAATGAATGAATGAATCGCGCTAGCTGTCATAAAGGATCAAGAAGAGCAGAACTGAGAGGCCTCATAAGACACAGCCCTTTTTAAATATGCGTCGGTAGCTGAGGTAACTCATTCTCAACCTCAGGGCCTGCTTGCCTTCCGGTCCCGTCCAGCATGAAATCCCTGAAAGGCTGCTGTGTCCCAGCTTAAAGGCAAGGTGGGCACTCATCTCCCAGCATGCGCTGCAGCACCCACGAAACTGAGGGGGCGCGTTCTGCCCTGGAGCGAGCTCCACCCAGGGGGACCTCAGCTCCAGGGTTTCCAACCCAGCGTCCCATGTGGGCCTTCGCGCAGAAGGCCCCCTCAGAGCATGTCCTCCTGCCCGGCCCCGCCTGCTGCCCTCCCTCCCCACCTCTCGGCACCTTCTTAACCAACCCAGAACTTCCAACCAGAAGATTTTTAGTGGGTATGGGTATAATAAACATGTTCTCTGTGTAAAATTGGGAATGAATGGCCCAGGGGGACAGAGGCACAGAATAGGTTGATATCTGGACCAGGCTTGAGACGTATCAAGGGGCTATCAGGTAGGTAGGTAAGACTGTAGACAGCAGCAGGTGTGGATGTCTACCTACAGGAGATATGCTCCGTGGGCTTAGGAGGCAAGATGCTGGAGGTTCAGTTTCTAATATTAGCACCAGCAGGTAACTTCAGCTGTAACCTATTCTATTTCCTGGTCTTTAAGCCTAAACCACCTCAAGCAGGCAGGTGTGTCTGGTTTCCACTGGCCTCTAGAAAAGGAGAATGACTAACCCAAGATGCTGAATAAAATAAATGGTGTCAAATAGGTGACTTTTAACTACAGCAACAGTACTTATTTTTACTCTGTAACTGCTCTTGCGCCCATGAGTCACAAGCCTCTGGTGACTATCTCTGTCCAGGGTGTCTACTTGGAAGCAGTCTGAGGGTGCAGCCCAAACGTCATGATGGTGAAGGGCCACCTGACATTTAATGCCCTTTGCAAATACCAGTTTACCTTCGGAATGTCATAAGCGGACCACAAGAAGCAATACACCACCAGTGAAGGGGGTATGAAGGCATCAGGGCCTCGGGGAGTTGGAAAGAAGAGAAAAGAAAGGAGCAGAACTATTGGGTTGTCGGAAAAGTCATGACGCATTTTTGCAACGAAAAACAGAAAAATACATCATGACTTTTCCGACAGCCCAGTAGTTCTCATGGAGGCAGAGCTGGCTCACTGTCTCCTGTCAGCGTCCATGGTAGTGATGGACATGGCGGCCTGGGCTGCTGTCACCCTGACAGCCTCCCTGAGAACTACTGTCTAGTGATTCCAGGTGCACTGTCCTCCCTGGTAAAACCCCTGGGCTAGGGTTAAGGAGCGGCATTCACGTTTTCATCCCACAGATACCAAGGGCCTATATGCAGGCATATTCTGGTACCAAAATTCTAGCAGTGAACTTGGCAGACAATTCTAACTTCGTGCTTGAGAGCATGGCCTTGGCAGCCAGACTGTGCTCAACCCTGGCTTTTCTGTGACCCGCTCTGTGAATTCTGACAATCTATTTTACCTCACGGTCTCGGGTTTGTCACCTGTAAAATGGGGATGATAATGATACCCACCCTGTAGGGTTAGTGTGAGGATGAAATGAGTCAGTACGTGGAAAGGAGCAAGTGTTAGATGCACGTTTGCTTCTTATCATCGCTCCCCTCACGGAATAGACAGTGGTTAAGTGCTAAGGCGGGGAGGGGGACAGGAAGAGTGTGCATGTGGTGGGGGAGGAGCTGTAACTGGAGGTAAGGAAAGGCCTGGTTGAGAACGTGACTTTTGAGAAACGTCTATTAGGGAGGGAGCGAGGGAGCCATGGAGTGTCTAGAGGGAGCGCATTCCAGGCAAGAAGTGGGAGTGTGCATGGGAGGACAAGGGAGGGAGGCCAGACGGCTGGAGGGGAGGGAGGGAGGCAACAGAAGGAAGACGTGAGGTCAGAAAGTGAACGTTTCAAGCAGCTCGCCTAAGGAACTGGGCTCCTGCCTCCCGGCCCCCTTCCACCCGCATCTCCCAGTAGCAGACGCAGAGCCCAGTGCGCTGACCGACCTGCTCCTGGTGCCGCTGGCGGATGCGCAGCAGCTGGGTGCCGTGCTCCTCCTGCAGCCGCATCACCTCTGCCTGGAACTGCAGCTGCAGCCGCTCCTGCAGGTCCCGAAGCTCCGCCTGCTGCTGCCAGCCCAGCTTCCTCACCTCGTCCTCAAAGCGCCTCTCCAGCTCTTCCTTCTCCTTCTGTAGTTTCTCACACCTTGCTGTGTTGGAGGCTGGCGGAGAGAACAGCATCTGTGTAAAAACTGGCGAGGAGGCACTGAAAGGACTCGGCCTGAGTGTTACCAACACCCAAGGGTAGAGCGTCAAGGTTAACGTCACAACTGGGGCTTTTCTCACGCACCGCACCCTCACAACAGCGCCTGGACGTGAAGGGGGAGCCCAAGGTCACCAGGTGCGCCAAGAGTGGCCCAGGCAAATTTGGGCTTTCTGACGGCCAGTTCCACAGTGCTGCCGCTAGAGCAGGGGTCCTGAGGGCCCAGGGACCACAGGCATCAAGAACAGTGGGCGTTTGTTCAAAAGGCATGCTCCCAGGCACACCCTGGTGGGTCACAGCCCCTGAGGCAGCGGCCCAGGATGTAAGTGTTTCACCAGGTCCACTCTGCCCCCTCTGCCCATGAAGGCTTGAGACCTGCTCACTTCTGGGACCTGAGACTGGACAGGGGAGGCCCCACACTGAAGACTGTCCTCTCCAGGCTGAAAGGCGGGTCCGGACAATCTCCGAGAAGTGCGGGGTTCCTTTAAGGGGGCCAGCCTGCACGATAACCATGCAATACCCGTGTGCATAGGCATGCCACTCTTTCCCAGTCCTGGTTTGCTTCCCAGGCCACCAGCTGGGGACAAACCAGTGACAGCAGCTGTTCCACTGTCGCGTCCCTGTCTCCCTGGGGCTGCGGACACAAATGGACTGCTATCCTCAGCAAGATCTCTTTCTCAACTGCAAATTGCTCTCAGGGAGGAGGAAAGCATCTTGACAATCTACTATGTTTATGTCAACTGGCTGATTAGACACACACACGGCACAGGCATCCAGGTGCAGACATACATCATTTATGCTAAACAAGGATGGGTGCTGCCACACTCCTCGCTCTGTACACACGCTGGGGAGGCATCAAGTCTTGCAAAATTGAGCGAGCGGGTATATGGGCTGGCTCACGTTAACTTGCACCCTAGGGGTGCTTGATTATACTCAGAAATATATCCAAGGTGCGGAGGCAGAAAAAGGCGATGGGGGGTCAAATATTTGTTGTCAGAAAAAGAACTGACTTTGGGTGGTGAAAGTACAATGCAATATTCAGATGGTGTATTATAGATGATAGATGATTGTACACTTGAAACCTATATAATTTTATTAACGAATGTCACCCCAATAAATTTAATAAAAAATAGTAAAAATACTGAAAAACCATATATATATATATCCAAGCCAGTTAAGCAGCGTTTGAAATGCCCTGAAGTCCCACCCTAAAGAGGCTTCTTTGCCACATTAGGCTCTAAAAGGGTTTGTTAATTAGCGTGAGGGACGTTTCAGAGCATTTTTTCCCTGGTGAAATGAGTGGTGGGTTGGCTGGATAGTGTATAGATATACCTCATCCTGTGTGAGCAGTGCAGAAAGATCTGGCCAGCCCAGCAGCCAGTTACTGTCCCCAAAATCCTTCTTGATCTAGGGCTTCAATTGTCACAGTGTCCCATGGCCCACCCTTTCACAGGGGACTCTGATGCACAGTCTAGCGAAGTTGTTAGCACGATCTGCCAATGTAATCGGGGTGCCGAGGGCGGGGTGGTGGGCGCTATGTGTCTTAGGTGTAGGCAGTAGGAGGATGCTGTTTGCCGAGAATTGCAAAGCCATAACCACACTGACTCGGAGAGCCCTCTGCTATTTACTGCCAACTTGTGCCAGCAGTTCAAGAATGTCTCAAAACAGTCTTCTGTTGGTCTAAGTTGTAAACAATTGCTACAGTTAGTGTTGAGGTTGTTGAAAATAATTTTTGTATTAAAAAATCATAGAGGAAAGTTGGAAGTGCAGTACAAAGGCATTGTTGTGCAAGTGACTTTTTCCTCCTTGAACCATTGCAGAATGAGATGGTGACCTCCTCTCCCATCAACCTCAAATTCCTTAGTATATACTGCCTACCAACAAGGTCCTTCTCCTGCACTACCACTATAATACAGTCATCAAAGCTAGGGAGCCGGCATCAACCCAATAGCGCCCTCTAATGCTCAGCCCCTTTTAAGTCCCACTGGTGGGCCCAACAGTGTCCTTTCAAGAAAAGGACCCAGTTCTGAATCACGAGCGGTATTTAGCTGTCCTGTCTCTTCACTCTCCTTTTGTCTGGGACATTTCCTTAGCCTTTCCTTGACCTTCGGGTCCTAGACACTTTGAAAGATGACAGGCCACTTATGTTATAGAACGTCCCTCAGTTCAGTGCGTCTGATGTTTCCTCATTATTAGAATCAGGTTCTGCATGTTAGGCAGAAAGATCACAGAAGCAACGCTGTCTTCTTCTCATTGCAATATTTATAAACTTGAATAATCTTTAAAATGGAGATTTTTTTCTTTTTAAATGTTTATGTAGTGAGTCAAGAAAGTCAGGGTTATTACTGATTGCTGCAAGATTATGCCGAAAATGATTTTGCGGTAAAGAGGACAGAGTGTTACAAATGGTCCTGCTTGGGTGTCAAATGTGTTAGGTATGCCCCTGAATGTAGATATTGTCACATCTGCTGCAAGCAAACCTTTTAGGCGAGGTGCACCTAAGGGACAGATTATGGGGGTGCACTGGGCTTCCCACCACAGTAAGCAGGACAGCAGACTTGGTCTAAGCTTTCTGATACCTGGTTGTGAGGTCGTGGGGGAGGAGGTAGAGTGTGCTCCCCTACCTCTGGTCACTGGAGCTACGGTCCCTACAAAATAACCCAACAGTAACCAATGGCCAAAGTGGCTCAGGCCTGGTGTGGACACCTGTTCCCAGGAGTTCTGACCCACGGGCTTTAACAAGCTCCAGCTTTTCCCAAAGACCCTCCACCAGGAAAGTCACTAAGGATTTCACCAGGGACGTTAGTGAAAAATGCTGCCAGGATCCACCGACCAGGTAAGAGGTGTTTATATGAAGACAGGTTTATCCTGGCATGACTGGAATTTAATAGGATAGATCAAGGGCCTTGGAATGTCCTTTGAAAAATAGTGGTTGATGGACTGAGACAAAGTCAAACTGAGGCAAACAGATGAGCAGTAATTTCACGTAAGTGGGGGAAGTCACCCTCCAGACAAGAACAGAGCATGGGGGCCACGAAGTAATGACTGGGGAGCCCCAGGAAATGCACCCCAGGGCAGGTTTTTGGGCACAGGGCCTCTTTGGAGGGTGCTCTTGTTTCTATAATTTGGGTGAACTAATTTCATAGTGATCTTCATGCACGCATGGCTGGGATCAAAACAAAGCAATGACAACAATATGTCTGCTTGTATTTAAAGCAGGTCAGCAAAGCAGTGCCCAGAGAGGAGACACAAATGGCCAAGAAACATGAGTACAGATGGTCAGCACCATTCATGATAAAAAACTGAGGTGAGACATAGTGTTTCATCTAAAAGACTGATAAAAATGAAATATTTTGATAATACAGGAAAGGTAGAAGGACACTGTCACTCAGTGGATCACTGGTGGGAACAAGTTGCTAAGCTGCTTTGGAGGGAACAAATATCTTTCAAAATGATAGGAATGGTAAGTTTAGGGGGTGACAGCTAAAGAGTTCAGGGCTTCTTTTTGGGGGTGATGAAAATGTTCTAAAGTAGATTGTACTGACAGTTGCACAACTTTGTGAACATACTAAAATCCACTGAACTGTACACTTTAAATGGGCAAACTGTACAGCATGTGAATTATATCTTACAATTTTTACCAAAAAAAAAGGGAAAGAAAACTTAACAAAAAGTCATGAGAGGAAAAATGTCTCAGAGGGTAAATTTAGATGTTTTTATAGAAGGAAAGATCATGTTATGATTTTAAAACCCAGTATAACAATGGCAAGGATATACGGTGGCAGAATGAAACAAAAATGAAAGCCCAACACTATGGGGTTTTACACACACACACACACACACACACACACACACACACACACACGGAACCTAAAGGAACCTAAGAACTACTGTTCCTGTCTCTTAATTAGAGATATATTGAGCACATAAAACTCAAATGAAAATAATTTTTAAAATGCTAATCATTTATTTTGTCTCCGAAAAGTAGTGTTTTGTATGGGGAAAACATTTATTTATCATATACTAATATCAGTATCTGTAACTCCAGACTATCAAGGCAATAAGTTGACTATACAGATTATATAGATGGAATAAAACAGATGAAAAGGTAAAGAGATTAATAAAAACAAATCAGGTACATTGAAGAAAAAACTTAAACCACACATAGCTTTCAACCCAACAATTTCACAAGTGCACAAAAAACTGTGGTCAAGGATGACTACTACAGCATGATTTGCCCTCAGGAAATATTGGGGGGCTATTTGAATAAATGATAATCCAATGTACCTATAGAACAAAAATATGATGGGATATAGGCAACCAGTAAAAACAAATAAGGTAAATCTGTTTGTGCTATCATGGAATGATATCTGCAATACATTTTTAAACAAATAGAGCAAGATGCAGAAATAGTACACTTGCATAATTATCTTTGAAATGGAAATGTATCCATATTTCTCTCTTTTCTGGAGTTTGTGTGCTTATGTTCCAGGACCCACTGCCCAACTAACACCGGCAACAATATGTATTTAATAAGACCCTATTGTTTGCTTGCATGCTTTATGAGTAAAAACATTTTTTAAATTACTACCAGAATTAAGGAGAAGACTGGGTTTGAAATGGTTATGGTAACCGGTGGTCAGAATGCCACGCCTCTTCTATCTGACCTTCAGCTTTATTTATGTTAGTGGCAGGATGACTCATGGGCCTAGCACTCTATCTGGGGGCTCAAAGAGGATTGGTTACCATCCTCAAGCTGTCACGCACTGTTGCTATAAATAAATCAGGAGTTGTGTAGGCCTCAGTTTTACTGCCTATAAGGTGGCAAAGTAATCCCTTTTTTCACATACAGCTCCAATCCCCAATTCCCAATTGCCATTATGTAAGAGAGTGTGATGCTTATATATTCGTCCAGTGACCGTGTGTTGTAAGCCCCAGGCCTGCAGAAGATATTGGATA